ATAAATTTCAAACGTATTGTAGTGTTCACAGTCTCTGTGCTACATACGCTTCCTGTTATTATAAGGCCAATCTTCCACGTTTATTATTCTAAAGTTAAATTAGAGTTTAGTTTTATTTTTATACTTTTTACGTTAGACCCCAAGTAGGGGGTCGGTGTATTCCGAAGTACGGAAGTATTGTATATAGAGAAAAATAAAGGGTTTTGTATACCCTTCTCTGTATCCTGTTTACTTACCACAAGTTTAGTGAACATAGCTTTAGTAAGCTCTCTGTTCCGAGTCAGGTCCTTGTATGTTCCCGAAGAAGATTAGAAGAAACATTGAACCTGATAATATGTAATGTAATATGTAATGTAATCGTAATAGTGTCATATGTATCATAATATATAATGTAATCGTAATAGTGTCATATATATTACAATAGATAATGTAATCGTAATAATGTCATATATATCACAATATATAATGTAATATATAATGTAATATGTAATGTAATCGTAATAGTGTCATATGTATCATAATATGTAATGTAGTATGTACTGATTAATAAGCAACATGACACACAATGCAAAGCCCAACTGAAACAATGTGAATGCAAACTGTATAATAGTATTATGCATAACGATATAGGCAGTGTATCGAGTAACGGGTACAATTGGCATGGTCCAGATGACAATTCAATATGCATCCAGTGTATAAAGTCTATCATGTGAACAATTTATCCTGTTTAATGCAATGCCTGTGTATAACTAATTTCCTGTGAATAATTTAACCCGTATCGTGCTTATAACCCACTACTGCGTATAATGTTCCTATGTATCATTAATTTCCCCGTATATAATGTAATGCGTACCCAGTGTATAATGATAATATATTGCGTATCCTGTGTCTAATGCGAATCCTGTGCAAAATAACCCTTTTATAATGTACCAATATAGGGTTTATTAGGAAAGAATTATAATGTAATAAGGTGATGTGAAGTTAATGTAATGTTAGGGTAAGGTATTAATTTGATATGTAGTATATAATGCAATGTGTAAATTATGTATCGTAACATATAATGTAATATGAAATGTAAGATAAAGGTGGATGTAGTGCTGTACTGATTAACCCAAATGGTAAAGGGACAGTGCCCACGTCCTCCGTCGCTTATCGCTTATATAAGTACAAAAAATGCCTTTTTAAAATACACTCTTAGACACAACACACACACACACACACACACACAAAAACAAAAAAAAAAAAAAAAAAAAAAAAAAAAAAAAAAAAAAAAACGCACCAAGAAGGAGCTATCCGAATGGGACGAAAATCGGTAGAAGTGATGTACATGTACAGAAAAACAAATGATTACAGTTTGAGAAAAACTTGATGATTTATTGAAGTGATAGAGCTTCACAAAGGTGAAAAAGTCAGTAACGCATTTGTCCACCTCTGGCCCTTATGCAAGCAGTTATTCCGCTTACCATATATTTTACAATAGATAATGTATCGATTGATAGAGGTTACGGATGTTCTTCTGAGGGATATCGTGCCAAATTCTGTCCAACTGGCACATTAGATCGTCAACATCCCGAACTGGTTGGAGGGCCCTACCCATAATGCTTCAAACGTGCTCAATAGGAGAAAGATGCGGCGACCTTGTTGGACAAGGTAATGTTCGGTAAGCACTAAAGGGGGCAGTGTAGGGGTGGGCATTATCTTGCTGAAATGTAAGCTGATTCTGGCGTGACATAAAGGACAACACAACGGGCCCTAGAACTTCGTCGACGTACCGCTGTGCTGTAAGGTTGCGACGGATGACAACCAGAAGGGTCCTACTATGAAATGAAATGGCGCCCCAGACCATCACTGCTGGTTGTCGGCTTGTCTGCCGGAAGACAGTCAGGTTGATATCACACCGCTGTCTGAAGCGTCTCCAAACTCGCCTTCGCTCGTCATCGGGGCTCAGTTCAAAGCGGGACTCATCACTGAAGACTATTCTACTCCAGTCAGTGACATTCCAGTGCGAATGAACCCGACACCACTGCAAACGGGCTTGACGTTGTACAGAAGTCAATGGTAGTCTCCGCAAGGGGCGCCGTGACCTTAGCCCCCTTTTTGTTAGCCGTTTATGAATGGTCCTTCCGGTCACTGAAGTACTAGTTGCACGTACAATTGATGATAATGATGCATCTGGGACTGTGAGTGCCGCTTTGACGATTTCTCGATCTTTACGTTCTGTCGTTTCTCTAGGTCTACCACTTCCTTTTTGACGCTGTGTGCGGCCATGGTTCACCCATTCCTGCCAACATCGTCTAATAGTGGCATCGCTCCTGCTCAAATGTCCAGCTATTCGCCGATAAGACCAACCGGCTTCTTTGAACCCAACTACACGACCTCTCTCAAATTCTAACATCCTGCGCATATCGTTCGCGCATCTGTATACGAGGCATAGTTACTGTGTTCCAGATTACACGGAATGAAATTCTTTTTTTTTTGATCTAGAGTGTAGTATGCATCGAATATATATTTCTATTCTATGCTGTTTAATTGAATTCATTTATTCTATGAATGTGTTATTTTTATTACAGATAAGTTTTATTTCAGATAAATTTCATTTACTCCATGAATGTGTTAGTTTTATTACAGATAGGTTTCATTTATTCTGTTAATGTGTTAGTTTTATTCGTCCTACATGAATATATAAATGTGTTGTGGAGATACAGTATTCCATTCCATGCTGTTTAATTGAATTCCTTTATTCTATGAATGTGTTAATATTTATTTCAGGTTAAGTTATTTTTAAAAATTTTAGTCACCTGTACTGTTGCATGAAAGTCATTCTTCTAATTGTTGAGTGATAGTTGAAAAATTTTAGTTTTATTTACTTGTTTATTTATTTTTCTTGCAGTTAACAACAATCCGTTTCCAGAATTCAATTCTTTGGGGAATTTCAATTGGGATTCTTTAGTTTTATTTTATTACGTTCTGTTACCCTCTGAAAACAAGCAACTTTTTCTGTTTCTATATGCCTGTCCTGAACTTTTGTGCTTAAAAACTGAAGGCCCATAATGTGAATGATTAGGATTATTAGGTGGTTTATCTGAGAAAAATATATATAGTATTGAAAACAGAATAAAAAATAGCATTAGCTTCTATTTTTATACTTCATATACTAATACTTTCCTATATACTAATACTTATTACTAATACTTTCTCATAAAATATCTCAATTTTTATAGACAGACAGGCAGATGTCTTGTTTTGCACCCGATAAGTCTTTCTGCTCCGATGGGCGAAAATTGATGCTCTGATGGCATATTTCGCAAGTGCACATCAGCGTAGCTCCTGAGGGAGGGGTTTCGAAAATGGACCAATGAGCTGCTATTGCTCTTGTGACGCTAAATCTTCGTGCATGTGAGCATATGCTGTTTACGTTTTAATTTGCTTTTGTATCGCAGTTATAAATATATGGCGTAATAGTGGAAAATCTCGTAGTGCTTTCGTTTTCTGAGTTTGATTAATCGCTGACATTTCACTTTCGCGATTTTTATCACGCATTAATATTAGGATTAAATATGTTCACAGCATATTATGTGGATTAAGAAAATTGAAGTGTATATATATATATATATATTTGAATTGAGCTGAGAATGACTGACAGTGTTACAATGAATCTAGTATTTTCTTATTTCAGTGCTTGCATTCTTTTGATTTTTAAAGTGTAAGATTCAGAATACATATGATCTGATTATATCCATTGTTAATACTAAAAATTATATGTGAATAAATTGAATATACTCGTTGTGAATACAATAAATTCACTCTATTTCATGAGTATTTCTTGTGTAGACAGTACATTTAAGAGTGAGCAGCTGTTAAATGTGAAATTTAACACAATAAATTTATTCGAATGCAAATTAGTAAAGTTCACTTTGAATAAAATTCTGGATTGGTTATTATTATAGAACATCTTTTTCATATAGACTGCAATAAAAAGCGCCGACTTCTATTTACATATATAATTGGTGTAAATATTTTTCTCATACGTATAGTTTTATGTAAAGTTACGTAAAGTTATGTAAAGTTTAGTTATTTTACGCATAGTTTTATGAGCATTTGAGCTCAGATTTTTATCACATATTCCTTTTTTCATCTTATTTACCACTTATTAAGTAATATTTCACATCGATATTTCTGCGAAGCATTCAACATGTGTTTGTATTTATTTCAACTAGGTAGTGAAATCTTCAAAATTTCCTATAATTGATTTAACTTCGCAATGAAAAGTTTCAGAAGCAATCGATGATGCTTTAATTATTTTGTACAGAATATTTTCAACCATCTTGCTTAAATCTTAAAGCACGCGAAAGGTCATGTGACATGACAGAAATAATACTGGATGCTCATTGGTTCATCCTAGAAGCCACTCCTTCGGTGGCTACACAGATGTGCACTTGTGAAATATGCGCTCTGATGGGCGAACAAAAAATCGCAAGCGTAGGTGCGAAAAAAAAGGTATATAGAAAAGGCGGCAAACACTACTATCGGCAAATTTAAGAATAAAAATTACAGTTAAAATATATTAAACAAATGCTAAGTGTAGTGAAAATCATTTGAATACTAAAAATAAAGCAATATAATATAACACGAAAAAAAAAGCGTCGGCAAATAATATTTTCTTTAAAAAGTGTCACATGAATGTAAAGCTTTTTAAGATTTTAATATATTTAAAAATTCCCAGATGCTTAAAAACTGAAAAAGAATCTATCTAAAGATCATAAAACAATATGTGTTTCTTAAAACATAATGAATTATTAGTGTCCCAGGCGAAAATTCATACTTCTGTATTTATCAGAATAAAACAAAAAATGAAACACTTCTAAAATATATTCACAACAGAAACGTAAACAAACACAGCAATACCGGAAACGGAATCATCCGGTCTGTTCGCGATGTGAGCGCCCTCTTCGTGGAGCTTTATAGAAAACTTTTTGAGCATAGGAAGCAAGGAGGTTAGAATGGAAGTAAGCTCTACACGTCTGGGTTACCGGTGCGGTATTATGTAGCAAATTCGTAAATAGAAGTCATGCTTCGCGCGAGTTGTGTGATTATTACCTCATTCAAAGCATTTTGTTCTTGTGTGTCTAATTTAACTGTTAAAGATATTTTGTTATCTAAACCAACAGAAACAAAAATTGTTGCTCAGGTATTATGTCTTTCGAGCTTTTTATGCAAGGAGGTTACGACCTCCTTGTTTTTTATGTGATTATATCACGTAATAAAATTTCGTAAAAGAGTTCATGAACAAAATATAATTTATGAGAGATTTCTAATTTAAACATCGCAAGAAATTTTAGATCAAGACAATTTGAGATTCATTATATTTTTGTGAGAATTTTGTTTGAATGGCATATGAAAAATCCTTGTATCAAAATTATTTCTTTCAATGATATGACCATCACGCATCTATTGTCTCAGCGCATTTTCTGTTTCTTTAGAATGTATAAATATCGGTTTAATTACAATAAAAATCACAGCCTAATATTCATCTAAATCTAGGATGATTAAAGAAAATTAATAGGGATTACATTACGTACATGTTAAAAAAATACTGATGCTTTAGATTTATGCTAGTTTAGAATAATAAATGATTTATAATTTTTAAATTGCATCTTTTTTTTTCCATCTTTGCAAAATGAGATTTCAAATTTCATTGTATATTTTTTTATGAACGTAATATGTTAACTCATTTGATTTCAATGTTTGTTTTATAAGTTGTTAAAATCAAAGTATGTGTGTACCTGAATAACACTGAATATATCGTGAATGTATAACATTCGTTCTTTTTTCAGGGATGGGTTAGAGCCATCAGAAAACATAAAAATTTATATTTTGTAGACCTTGTTGATGGAACATGCCATGATAGACTTCAAATTGTGATTCCTGAAAAATCTACAGATAAGAACAAGTTTGTATTTAATATATTGTAATAATTTCTATATATGTTTAACAGCTGTCAAATATATTAGAATTAATATTTTAGAATAAGTTATTATTAAATACTTTTACCATAGTGTCGCTATGGTAAACAAATATAATGAATTTTAAAGAGTGCATTTATTCTATTGTGGTTTACGCGCTATCGATGAAGTAGATTTAATTCAATCCAATAAGTTTAAATGAAATGCAAGAAAAAATGCATATAATTTAATATTCCGTACAAGGAAGTCTTGTGGTATACACATCAGATTTGTTTTTTATGTTAGTACTTCCTCTTTAATTTCATAGATACATATAATTTCTTGTTTGGTTACAAAGTTCCATTGTTCAAGTCCTGTAACTGGCATGTCGAGAATGCCCACTAAACTGTCATTCAAAATCTTTTCATTCTCAAAATTTTCTTTGTCATTTTCTTCGCTACTGGTAGTGATATTTTCTATAGATTTAAAACCACCCTACAGGTTTCACTATCTGATTGCTAAATGACACATTGTCATTGCAATGGAAAACTTCTATTATCTCATCTTTATTTATTATCCCTTCTCCACATTTTTCACAAATTCTAATAATTGAAAAATTTTGCCTTCTGTAGCTTTCAAAGTTAATGCCAAAATAAAGTGTTTTGCCTAATTGTGAAAAAGCACTTTCTTAATCTCAAATTGTGCTAATGCTCTTTCTCTTACCAAGGCTGTTGTATACAGTCATGGAGGTACTTACGTATTAAAACCACCACAGCTGCAGATTTGGTTTTTAAGTGCTACCAATCTACACCTAAAATTTTTGCGTCAAATCATAAATTAAAATGCTTTATTTAAAATGAAAACATTTTCAAAAATCAAAACACTTTATTTAAAATCAAAGTAGTCGATCGGATTTCGGTGGAAAATGGGCTGATATAGAGTTTAACATAAATTCAAAACAGTCTCTATTTTCTTTGACCTGATGCTGTCGCCATATGAACTCTGCTAAATAAGATTCTAAATGATGTCTCGTTCTCCCGCTATGTTTCTTGTTCCTCCATTTAGCACAACCCACATTCTCTCAACTGTTTGTGTATGAACTGCTGTATGAGGATCAATAAAATTGTATTTATGATTAACTTAGATTAACACGTAGGAATCCTTCTTTTTCTATTCTATTTGTTTGGTAACCTTTCCAACTGTCAGAATAAATTGTGACACCATCTGTAGGTAAAAGTATAGTTTAGGGTATCCCTTGGCGATTTTTGGCAGTACATGGATACAGATTTTGTGCAATTCTTTGACTCGTTATTTTGGCTTGCGAAGCGGCAATTTTTGTGCCAAAAATTGCCACTACACAAAGCCAAAATAACAAGACAAACAATTGCACAAACTCGGTATCCTTATACACATCAACTTATTTTCACTTAAAAAAAAATTCCCCGAATTGCACAAAAATGGCGTTGCGCACTCCTTTGACTTTATCCATGTACACGTCAACCTATTTTCACTTTACAAAAAATCCCCGAATTGCCCCAAAATGGCATTGCACACTCTTTAACTTTATCCATGTACATGTCGACCTATTTTCACTTAAAAAAAATCCCAGAATTGCAAAAACTTCCATTGCGCACTCCCTTTACTTTGTCCATGTACACATTGATATATTTTCACTTAAAACGTCAAAGGAGCACCAAATTCTACAGTATAGGCAAACAAAAAATACATAATCTCAATAAAATACATTTTAAACCAAACAATAAAATAACATAAAAAAGGAAAAACATGTTATACATTTAAGCACTACCAAAAGCATATTCACTTACCATGATTTTCAAGTTCGCTTCGTACACCCAAAGCCACGTAAAAATCAAAATATCAATCATACTCAAATGACTTTTTTCAAACCAGGTACTCTTTTTGATCGAATGCTTCACATAGTGACCATCTGAAACTTGCTTCCTGCAAATCCATCTAAACAGTTTTTACGTTCGACTAGACGCATATCCTTCCTACATACAGGACATTTTATAATGGCTACTAAGTAAACCTTCATTTACATACCAGTGAATTAAAGCTCTTTTCCCCTTTCACTCCAAATTGTACAGAATTATCTTACTACATTCAATTAATCTTACTACATTCAATTAATCTTATTACATTCGGCCATTCTACCGTCTAAAAAATCAAACCAACACACACCACAAAAACGCTTACAAAACATCCGATGATTCAAAATTTCCCAGAATCATACACCCGATTACATCACAATAGGGTTTCCATAACATTCAACTACTCAGGTTACCATAAATGAAACAACAACTTGGCAATAAATGAAACAACAACTTTGCCATAATACAAGGGGTACTTTAAAGTCTACTCTACCCCCATCTGCAATGTTTTCAGTAATTTTATTAAGAAGGGTAGACCCAGTTCCGTTAGGAACAGTGACAACAAACGAATCTTTTGTTTATCTACATATACCACCAAACACCCACTGTTCGGTAATACTTGACCACAATTATTTTTACCCTTAGTAAACAAACTTTCATCAATTTCCACAGTGCAGTCTGGTCCACCTACCTTCTTATTTGGTTTATTCTCCATATCCAAAACATGTAATTCACGCATGTAATTCTTCCAATCTATAACAGTTTTATTTGATAAATCAAGTTGCTTTTCACAAAATTTAATCGATGTCAACTCCTCGTACGAGCAGTATATGAATCTCAAAGCTGAACAAAATGGAATTCTGTTTTCTTCAAACCAGTTGTCTTTTCCAAGTCTCACTTGCTGATCACACTGTCTTAAATTACATTTCCAGAATGCCAAAATAAAGTTTCATATCATGCGAATTGGTAAAATATATAAATTTTTGGTAAAATATTTTGCGTCTGAAAAAATAAAATTGCATCTTCTGTGTTTGGCAAATCCAAAAGACACATTTTCATAGAAAAAAAAAAAAAATAAAAAAAAAATAAAAAATCAGCAAACAACAAAGTAAAAAAGAAACCAAAAGATAAGTGCGTGCGAACAACAGGATTGCTCTTTATTGGTGCATTAGTGCAACTTCTGCTGCAGTGATGTTAATACGTAAGTACCGTCATGGATTTTCATAATAACAATGACCCCAAATAGAACTAACTGTATGAAGCTGAGCCAGAGGCTTTCATTCGAATCAGATAACCCATTTATGCTCTTTGTTTCAAAAGTCAGTAGCACCATATGGTGTAAGATATGCTAATTGTGTTCTCGGTCTCCTAGAATTTGGTTCATACTTGTCTTGCACAGCTGTTGTTTAAAACATAGAAAAAAAAAAAAAAATGTGAGTGAGGTGAAAGACAAGTAACCAAGTTAAAAATTCAGACATAACTTTTGATAAAATAAGCTGTAATAATATTAGCCGGCACAAAACAATAAGCTTAATAAAATTGGAAATTTAAGACCAAGTGCAATTTGCTATGTTAACAAACTTAAGTTCCTTAGAACTTAATTTTAACTCCCTTCCCAACTGCTATGCCAACTAAAGAAAAGCAGTATGAGCATCATCTCTCTCCAAGCAAACTTATCTTGGAGTTTCACTTACTTTTTACATCAGAGAGAAAAAGCTAACCTATCACAACTGCTGAAGGGCTGAAAGCATAGTCATGGCTATTATCTGTCAATGTACTGTCATTGGCCTTGATATGATTCCCTAGCCAGCAGGTGTTTTAAAGTGATATACAGGAAATCTTAGTTAATCGGTAAATAAATTGTTTTTATGGCAGATCCCTTTTCTAGACTTTGTTGGGTAGTATAAATTGGTACTGTAATTATTTGAATGGATATCTTAAATATTTTGACATGAGTTTATCTGTTATATATAAAACATAAATGGTCTATTTTCTTGAAGTTTAAATATTACTCTTTATATTGTGAATAGATTATATTATATTCTTAAATATGTTTTATCTTTGCTTAGCTCATATCCAGCATATGGGAGTTCTATTAGAGTTGAAGGGTTACTTATTCCAAGTACTCACAAAGGTCAGGAAGTTGAACTGATTGCTGACACTTGGGATACTCTTGGATCATGTGCAAATGTATGTTCATATTATATGCAACTCTTTTTTTTTTTTTTTTCCTATTTCTTAAATTTGTCATGCAGTCATTAATTGTATTGATTTTCTCCAATTACAATGATTGTAGTATTTTCTTTGGAAACCAGTGGAAAATTAAGACTGACCAATAGCTGTATATGTGGGCTGAAAGATGTTCATATTTACGGGAGGCCATTTGGCCTACCTAAGCAAACATGATACAGTAAAGTCCAGTAACCTGAATGATCTAATACCCAGACCTCTGAACCACTGGGGGAGGTTTTTTTTTTAGAATATTTTTCCGTGCAAATATGCAATATTCAAGAAATAAAGAATATAATAAGCAAGAAAAGAAGATATATCATAAAAGTTATTTTTTCCCCATTTACTGAAATTCTCTATGCCACTTTTGGACACCTGCTGGCTTCAGGATAACACCATAGGCAATGATAAAAAAAAATATTAATATTATAGTTTTAGTAAATAATCTTTCTATTTTACTCTTTCCCCAAACTTGTACATCTTTCAGTCAGCCAGTGGATATCAAAATTTTGCATGCAGTGAAATGCAGATATAAAGTAGCTTTTTAAAAACCAATGCAGCTATGAGACTATCCAATAATTCTAGAAATATTTTTTTAATATAAAATCTGACATATGAGGCACTGCAAGATTATGAGAGGATATGTCTACAGATATTTTTTAAAATGCTTGGCATAATTATAACAAGCTATAAAATTTCATGATGAGTATGAAACCCATGGAGCTGAAGGTTTTCAGATATCACAAGAAAAAGCAAAATTTTCCAATTAATGTAATATAAGAAAAAAAATGCTAAATGAAGATGAAATAACTTGTCTGGCATCGCCTCCATCCTCTATCAATTAAGGAACAGCAAATATCTGTAGTATGGTTTTAAATCTAGAAAATTTGGCCATTTTTGGCTTTAATTTCACACTGTAGTGATCCGGGGGGGGGATCTTTCTTTATAGAAAATACTTCTATTGAATTTCTGATGATTTCAGACCTTGAACCTTGTACTGCATAGTGTGTTTGTTTTAAAACATTTATATGTAAAACATATTGCATTTAATTTTAGGAATCCAGCAGATGGTTTTAGAAGACCATTTTAACTCTCTGAGCAGCATGATTGTTTTTATCTGGTCATGAACATTTTTGCCACTTAGTATATGTGACTTAAATAGTTTGTTTGTTAAAAAAGGTTTTCTTATCTTTATTAATAATCTAAGCATCATCTTATTGAATGGATGATATGAAAATTAAGATACAGAAATTATACAAATCTAACTAGTAAATGCTTTTTAAATACTATTCTTTATGAGCCAAGCAGATTCAGGAAGTTTTGCTGTGCAGAGAATTAACAGAAATAATAGCAAGCATGCTTTTGCATTTGACAGTTACCTATAGATTTAGAAATATTTCAAGTCATAATCCATTAAAACGTAATACTTCCACACTGTCTTTGGAAATATTGATCTGATGTTGCTAATAACATTTTTCTTAAATACTGGATAAACTTGTTAATTGTTAATGTTAAATATTTCTGAGTATTTTAATATTCATGAATGTGTTTCTGAAATTTCAGCTTAGTAATCTTTTAGAACTCATAATAAATTGAATCATTAATGTCTGTGAATCTAAAATAACTTTACTGATTGTCTTTTTTATGATAGTGATAATATTAAGTGACTGAAAATGTTGGAATAAAATACATATAACTATATTCATAGTATGCTGGTTTAAAAGTTTTAAGGTTATTTTCTGATTATCCACTCCTTCTTCTTGAAAAGTCACTAACTGTTGCTGACTAATTAATCACCAAGCTAAGCTGCAAAAGACAACAGCTGTTTTCAAAAATGGCAGCACACTAAGAATTACATAAAACAGCAATCAGTCAACAAAATTAAAAACGCAATCATCCATAATAAAACACATATCCTTTTTTGACGCTGCTCTCCCCATGTGCACAGTAATCTGTTTCAGCTTAAGAAAGCAAGCCCACCAGCGGCCGAGCAAAGTCGCTGAACACTGGTGGTTCGGTCCGAGGTTCGAATCCCGCGAACGGGCTGGCTGCATGGGTGTTTTCGTGGTTTTCCCCATGTGTAACGTGTATACGAGCCAGTTTCCCTTAGAAAGTCCTCCACAAAAGGCATCCCTTCCTTTTGGCAGATAACCCTAGTGTGCTTTGCCATAATTAAATACACCACAGCTTAAGAAAGCATGACAGAATTGCAGAAACTTGGCATCGTGTACAACTTGGCACTGCACACACTGTCATTCTCTCCATGTACAGCTGTCTATTTTTGCCTAAAAAAAAAAAAAAGACAGACTCGTACAGATTTGGCATTGCATATATTGTTGTTTTCCATCTGCACAGCAATCTGCTTTCACTTGAAAAGTGACCAAAAATTTCATAAATTGAACGTCAGTACACAAATTTTTATTCATAAAATTGGAAGTACAACTTCATGAAGTCTAAATTTTTGCATTCTCTGCTGTTAGAAAAAACATTATATTTTAAAAGAAATTCAATGCTTTCTTTTTCATCAGCTGGCAAACTTCACAGTCCCTACAATTCCTTACTTAAAAAAAAAAAAAAAAAAAAAAAAAAGCAAGCACTCAATGTAACAAAAACAAACACTAATTATCCATTCTTATCTGCTGTGCACACATATTCACCTAGATTGCAGCATAAATACATTTTGGCAACATAGCACATTGCCTAGAGAATTAGAAATTACCTTTGTTTTTACTTTGATTATTATTTTGAATGCAAATTAGTCCCTGTCCTTTGACAAAAAAAATGGTGCCACTGGAAAGTTACGATTAAAATTGTCCAAAGTAAAAAGGCTGGACATCTGCTAACAACATAAGCTTGTTAGCTGATGAGATATTAGTGCTTTTTGTATCAGCATCATGTATTTTTTTCATGTAAAAATGTCAAGTTTTGAGCCGAATGAGTGTCATATGCAGGGACTTTTTATTTACTTCTTTGATCTGAACAAATCTGCAGCTGAGGTGAGAAGTTGTCGTGAGTGGTTTCTAAAGTTTAAGTATGATGAATTTGATACTGAAGACAAACAATATAGTGGAAGGTTGAAAGTGTATGAAGACATAGAATCGGAAGCATTATTGAATGCAGATTCAATGCCAAATGCAAGCACATCATGCACATAACATAAGGAGTGGCTCAACAAGCAATTTCACATCATTTAAAATGATTCAGAAGCAAGAAAATGGGTTCCATATGAACTGAAGCCAAGAAAAATTGAACATCAATTTTTTGCACATGAAATGCTGTGCTTTCATAAATGAAAAGGTTTTTTTTTTGCATCATATAGTCACTACTATATGAAAAATGGACCCACTACAGTAACCCAAAAAAGAATTCATGGCAGGGTCGGATTTACGTATAAGCTACACAAGCTATAGCTTACGGCCCCACTTTCTTGAAGGCTCCAAAAAAATTTAAATATAGTGTAAATAGTATTAAAATATATTATAACAGACTTATAAAGGGCCCCATATCTCGAATAACTTCAGCCTTATCAAGTCTAAATCTGGCTCTGATTCATAGGGACTACCTGGTCATGCTTCAACATCGACATCCAAGCCGAATATTCAAGGAATAAAAATCATGTTGTGTATATGGTGGAATCAACTTCGTGTCATGTATTACAAGTTGCTCAGTGAATGAAACCATTACTGGGACTTACTACCGAACACAACTGATGAGATTAAGCTGAGCACTCAAGGAAAAATGCATCCACTACTACTGCAGATGTGACAAAATTTTTATTCTGCATGATAACGCTCATCCATATGTTGTGGCACCAGTAAAAACCTACTCAGAGACACTCAAATGAGAAGTTTTCCCTCTCCTGCCATAGTCACCAGATATTGCTCTTCTGATTCCTACTCATTTCAACTGATGACACATGGCCTGTCTGAGCAGTGCGTCTTATCATATGAAGATACCAAAAATTGGGTTGATTTGTGGGTAACCTCGAAAGATGAAGTGTTCTTACAACACGATATCTGTATGCTTCTAGAGAGATGGGAAAAGTAGTAGCTAGCGATGGACACTGCTTTGAATAAAACATAACATGCTGCTCTTTCACTATAAATGCCAATTTTTGATAAAAACTTTTGGAGACTTATTTGCACTCCCAATATTTGTAATGCTGGTACATTTTTTTAGAAATGCATTCTATGTGAAGTATTTTATTATTGCATTTATTTTTAGATTGCAGATGTTTCTGTATTCTCTTGTCTTATATAATTTGATTAGGATTATCCATTTGAATACCGTCAAAAATATTCTGAAGAGTATGTCAGACAGTTTCTCCACTTACGACCAAGGACCAGGAGATTTTCATCTATCCTTCGAATTGAGAATCATGCAGCAATTGCTGTACATAAATTCTTTCAGGTAATTATGCATTTTTTTTTTTTTAACTTTCTTTTTTTTTTATTTAGATCATTTCTCGCATAATTATATTTTACCTTTTATTTATTTAATCAGTTGTGACACTTTTCCCCCCTATACTAATGAATACTTTCTATTCTAACTTTATTAATGAATGTTATGCAATAATAAACCTTAGTTTGATTGAATTCAGTGGTTTATGTAATAAAATTTGTAGTTTTATAACTACATGTGTATTTTATGCATTCTGGATTTATAATTTAAGATATAATCATTCCTCACATTAGTATAATAAAATTGAATTTTATTTATAACATATGCTATTTGGAAAACATAGATTAAATGTGCAAGTTAAATAAAGAACACTTGTATGTGTTGACTTAATATTTCTAGGAGACTTGAAATAAAATATATTTTCTTATATAATTTCCAAACTCTGTTGAATCTTTCTTATTGAAGAGAAAATTAACCCTATTTAAGAGAAATCAATGGCATGGATTAGCAGAGCTTGATGCCATTTTGTAAACTTTATTTGTGCCTTCATTTGCTTATATTTTTACCTTATGATGACTATATTTTTGTTGTTTATTATTTATACAGATATATATCATATATATCTTAGCAATGCCTCATTTTGTTTTATTTTTATTATTTGCCATTCTGTATTTATCACCTTAGTTTATATAATTTCAGAAATACAGTTTTTGTTTTATTTGGATTAATTAAGATTATTCCTTCTTGCCCCTTGCTTCATGTCTTCCCCCAGGAAAAGCATGTTTAAAGCAATCTTCATTATTCTATTATTTAACCTTTTATTTCATTTAAAATGTTCATAAAATGTTTCATAACTTGAATCTTAGAAGATTGATTTTTTATTTTATTCTTTTTGGACACTTTTTTTGTTTGGTAATTGAGCTCATTTGAAGGGCAATTTTCAAAATGGTTGTTGTATTTCTTAATTTATGTGATTTTTTGATGATTTGGAGTCAAATATAATCCTTAGACATGTGAGCAAAAAATAATTTCTTTAAGAAATTTATGTGAAAATTAATTAGTCACTTAAATTGCTCCTGCTTTATATGTTGGTCTTTTTCTACAAAACAATCATTTTTTTATTTTGAAGTGCTTTCTTTTTTTCCTATGAATTTTGGGGAAGCTTGAACACTTTCAAGAGTCAACAAATTTTTTGCATCTAACTTGCTGTAGCCATATGCTGCAAAATGACCAGGACTCAATTGAGGCCATAAAATCCATTATTAAATAATAATATTAATATATTTTAAAGCATTATTTGCTACAGAATTTTATTGAAACTCTCATTGACATTCTGGGTTTTACCAAGTGCATATTCCTGTAACAGTTCTCTTATGCAGTTTCATGTACACATATTTTATCATATTTAAAATACATATTGGATGTCCTTTTGCTTTTTTCTGTATATTTTTAGTTTTCTGTAATAGCACATTGATATTTGCATCAGTTGTTTATGCCACAAGAGCATTGACTATGAATCAAAATTTTTTGAAATTTGATGGAAGTTAAGAGTAAAGATATGCCAACATTTTGCATATTATCTAAATTGCCAACATTGCTCCTAATAACAATAGTTCTAGAGCTTATCGATAAAACTGTCTGTGAACTTTCCCTTATCTTTTAATCCTGGCATAGAGTTCTTCAGTTTCTACAGTGCACTTCCTACTCTTTTCTGTACGTACTCAATGCACTCAAATTTTTTTAACAGAGATTAAGTCATATATATATTTCACACTCAAAAAATATTTTGAATTATCATCTCCATAAAATTTTACATATTTGAGATGATGCAAGACAACTGAATATCCAATATGTTCCAACAGCTTCCATTCCTGCAAGAAGAGCCTAGTTTGAAGAAAAGTATGCTCTGTGTTACGTTTTTCATATTGTAGACTTAGTTTCATTTTATCAATCTCTCTGCATGTGCTACAATATTGAGATAAAGTTTCAATGTCTAAAATTTTGCCAGTGTGAATAGATAAGCAGCTTCTTCTTTGTCATGTTTCATCAACAAATATTTCACACTCTGCTACCACAGTTTTATTTTCATTCTGAAGTAATTGTTGAACTTCAGCAATATTCACCATTGAAGTATTAGCTACTACTGAAACAATATCCAATATTTTTTTGACAGTCCTTTTGTACAAAGTGCTTTGGACTGGTGATGGCAAATTTAAAGTTGTACGCAACTTTTTAGCAGCTGTCAGTCCTTTTCCAATTAATCTCATTGCAAATCTAAAATCTAATCATAAAGTTTATGTTTAAAGACTTTTTTTTTTTTTTTTTTTTCTCTGAAGATACAAAGTTTTTGTTGAAACTGCAGGACTTTCAGCTCATTGTAAAATAAAGTGTGAATTTTCAGCAAGCAATAAACTGGCAGTCAGACATTCTGGGCAGCAAAGTGACAAGATGTTTAAGATAATAGAAGCATCAACAATACAATTACTTTTTAATTCTTCAAAATCACTTTTCTCATTAGCAGCACTTGCACTCAGTGCTGCTAAACTGTTTGTTTCATTATGACTACCTGGATCAGTAGTCATATTTTTTGTATAGTGATTATTGTAAAATTTTTGCTTTTTTGATTGACCATGCATGTATTTAGGTATTCTGGACATTAGATTATTAAATGTAATCAAAATACTGAAAACAAACGAATCTGTAGCTAATAAATTAGCACAGGAAATTTGTACACACAAAAAAAGTTATAAACAAAACAGTAAATTTGATACGCTGTTGCCAAATGAAAATGAAAAACTTTTAATGAAAGCGCTTTGTAAGATTCTTCAAATATCGGTGAGCTGGAAGTTGAACTGTCAGCACTATCCTTATCTTCAGGGCAGATGTTTATATTTTATTCAGCTTATAATTCCTTACTAAATGTAGTATTTCATCTCGATGTGCTCCGTCTTTGATATGATTGATCGTCATTATAAATATCACAAATACACATCAAATATTTTTCTGGTTGCAATTTTCTAATTTTGACTATGCATAATGTATGCTTTACCCATGCATGCGTTGAAAGAAATGTTTAATAAAGTAAACAAATAAATATTAAGCGTTTTTTTTTTTTTTTTTTTGTAAATTTTGATACCCTTTAGATCATAATTGCTCTTTATTTCATAAATTACGGTTTCATATTTTTAATTTTATAATTTCTGCATGCCATTTTACCAGATTTAGCTTGTTGATCCGGAAAAACCGATAGTCTGGAATCGCCAAAGTCCCAACGTGTCCAGATTAAAGACTTTTGACTGCATATTATGTATGAATGTATGTGTGTGTATACACATAGACTCCAACCTGCAGCAGAACGTGTCAGTAGTCAACGCGCGAACGACATTTTCACAACTTTGAAAATGCGCGTGTAACGCATGTTGTAATTAACCATTCATTAATTTTAATTAATAATTGTAATAAATTTTGTTACATTTAAAATCCATATACATATAAAACTGAATAATTAAAAATTATATGTACTTGTAAAGTATATGCACATTTAATTAGAAATTTTCATTTAACTCCTCACTCATGTATATCACTAAATCTACTATTATGTGAAAAAAGAAATTATTTTAAATCACTACTAATCAGAAAAAATCAGAATCCATAAATCATACATCTTTATTCTGGATTTGATTTCCGCATGGAAATAAGATTTAAATAACTGAGAGTAATACATATTAGTATTTAAAAAATACTTATAATTTACGAATGCAAAGATTTATATGTAGCATGCTTGGCAAGCTTAAGTTCTGATTTTGAGAATGTTTTTTTATAACACAGTTCTTGATTTGCCTGCATACTTATTTTTTCAATCAAAACTGCTTCGAGAGTTTTAGGACCTAAATTTGGTAGAAATTCCGTCTGATTTTTTTTAACAATAAAAAAAATTCTTTCGCAAGCTGCATTTGAATGAGGTATTATTAAGAAAGCAAGCATTACAGTAGGCAATACTTGTATTTAATCACCCATTCATATTTTTAATTTAGCAATTTCTCCCCATGCTATATCGATACGCAAAATCTACAATTTCTTTCAAATCATCTACTTGATTACATGGAAAATTCAATTTCCAACTTGATTAAGATACATTTCATCAATAATGGATGGAAAAGTATTCATCAAGTAAAGAAGAGATGAAAATGAAATTCAGTCCTCAAGTTGATGTCGCAATTCAGCATGATTTAGAAATGGATCACTTAGTGGAAATTATCTATTATATATGAACATGCAGTACAAAAAAGCTCGCACAGAATTGAAAAAATGATTTACTTCACTTTCATTCAACTGGCATTTTTTAATATAGTCTTGTTTCCGTACCAATCAGTAAATTCTTTCTTTACTATACTTTTGAAATGAAAGAGATGTTAGAGTAAAATCTTCATTTTCTTAGAAATTACTGATGGTTTGAATTCTAACAAATAAATCATTAAAAGTTCAACAAGTTCTCTTTTCAATTTATGTATATAAGGAGCTTGTTGTTGCAAATTAGTATTTACTGTTATAAACAAGGCAAAGTATTTTAAAAATAACAAGTACAATTGGTGGTAGGTGACTGTAACATTTTTTAATGTTCTGCCAATCTCTTCCTTCATTCTCATGTTATCTGGTTGATCTCCAAAAAATTTATCACAGCATCCCACTGTTCCAAAATCCTTGTTATAGATTCTAAAAGAAACAACCATCTCTTACTGCAATGTTTCAAAATTTATGAGATTTTGCATTCTGTCCCAAAATTGTTGAGCAACTTTGAAGCTATTCTTCCATTTCGAACTTTCTCCAAATAAAAATATATATCTATTAACATTTCGATTTCTGAGCCAATTAATTTTTCAATAGTCTTTTTTGCAGCTATATGCAAGAGGTGGCATGGACAACCTTGAATGATTATACTTGGTTGACGCATTTTGATAAACAGTGCTACACCTTTAAACTTTCCAATCATATTGCTAGCATTATGTGAAGAAAATAATAAGCAATTTTTCTAGTCTAAACCTTTGCTTTTAAAGTTTTCATTTATACAAATAAAAATACCTTCTCTGGTATTATTCGTGCAAATAGAAACTCTAAAATATCCCTTTTCTTTACTGTAATATGTTATAATCAATGGATACAGCTTGTTATCACTATTATCATTACTTCCATCAGTACTCAGAGAAAATGATGTATTGCCACAGATTTTATAATATCGGCAACAGTACTTTCTGCAAGCGTTTTCACAATAGCGGCAGTTTTGGTATGACAACAGCTAAATTTTTTTGCTATGGCAGAATCCGGAAACATTGCTTTGAAAGCTCTTTGGAATGATCCGAAAACAGAAAGCGGTTAGATTGTGTTCAATAAAAATCGAACAAAATAGCTTTGGCTTATAGGACCTGTTCATATCTTTTATTAAGAAATTCGTTATTTCTTTAAATTTTACAATGCCAAGTTCTATATGTTTTTGAGAAAAAACATGCCGTTTACAGTCATCTTTTCCTCCATGTGCAACTGAGAAGTCTTTGTTGCATACACTGCAGTGTGCGTGATTCACAGAAATTATGGATGCTTTAATGCATGGAAATTCTGAAGAATATGAATCTTTAAACTTCTGCTTGGATAATTTTGGCTTTTTCGTTCGAGGTAGCATTATTAAAAAAAACTTCCAACTGAATGCCACTTCACAAGACAGACGCTAAGGTCTCGCCATAATACAAGCAATAGAGCCAAAGGCAAGCTAATCACGCACTAAGACCAGATGTTGCGGGGGATGGGACTATTAACGGTTGGAGTTACTGATCTACGATCGGCTATTTTCAAAACAGCAAAGCACTCAACACGTGATATAGTATGATGACACCAGTATTCAGCCAATCATCGGATGAATTAGTTGGTTCTGTTTTGCGTACTGGTTCTCCTACTCTGTTTCGGTAAAATCCGTAGTTTTTTCTATACTTTTCGTAGCTCGTAGTTTATCGTGAATTTCCGTAGAAACTACGGAGAATCCATAGTAGTTGGAGTCTATGTATACATGTACACATATATGCATATACATACATTTCTGAATCTGGTCTCAATAACAGAACAGTACCAAATAAACTTTTGATACAAATATAGTACCACCTGTCAGTAAAAAATGTAACTATTTCAGTAATAAAATCATTCATAAAATAATTCCTTATCTTTCTGCGAAAACCTCATTACGTTACTGTGTAAATTTTTTTAATTACTGAATTTTAAACGATTTACTATCAACAAGGGTATTTTTCTTTTCTGATATGTAATAGTAACCTATTAATAAGTAAGACAACCTATTAGTGAAACTTCTCGTTGTTATCATTGCACTCTGTTGATCATTTATGTAAGTGGCCATTATTTTTGTGAACATAATTAAGAAACAGTATTGAATATCAGTGATAATCATGTTCTCTAAAATGATCAATGCTCATCTAGACTAAAATCACTTGGAAGCATAGAACTTGATATTTGTTATATATATAAAGACAGATGAAAGCGCAAATTTAGTTTAGATTTGCCACTTCGCTGAGAAATTTTCAAATATTCCTGTATTTTATTTTTTAATGTTTAATACAGTTTCAGCTGGATATATGTCAGTGAGTATCATGAAGCTGTTGCAACTGTTATCCTATATGCTTTTGTTGTAGTTGATGGCATATAAGGAAAATCTTTTTGAAATTTGGTTTGATATGTGTTATAAATTGATTAATATCAGCTAAACAGAAAGCAAATCTTTGTCACTGTCGACCACTAAATTTTTTCATTTGTTATCTGGTATTTTAAAAAGATTTGCAGGAAAAGCTATTAATTAATTTTAATTTAATTAATTAATTGTAGTAAATAAAATGAAAAAATGTATGCATCTGAAAGTGTGTTCATATTTGCATTTACTTAGATGAATTTATGTAAACATATATTGCACATATCTCAAAAGATTTGTAGAAATTTTAAATTTCTAGGTTCATTGCTTAATTTTAAGTGATGTAAAATGCATATCTGAATTCATATACAGAGTTAAAATCTTAAAAGACCATGCTGAAGACAGTTATTCTTCTGTAGAACTGAATTGATAATCATAATATATTTTAAAAAATTTTATTTTACCAAATATTAAACTTATATAAAAAATGTAGCTATTTCTTAATTGATTTATTGCTTGTTATTTCATTAAGAAACAGAAGATAATTAATAAGCTTAGTGCATTTAGATAATGGTTATGATTTTTAAAATTTGATGCACTGAACTGTTCATTAGATTCTCGTATCAGTTTTCTCTTTCTTGTATTATATACAGTAAAAAATCTTTAATCCGGACTCGTCGGGACTTCGGCAATTCCGGATTATCGATTTTTTTGGATTATAGATCATCAGTTTAAATCTGGTAAGATGGCATGCAGAAATTATAAAATTAAAAATATGAAACCATAATTTATGAAATAAAGAGCAATTATGATCTAAAGGGTATCAAAATTTACAAAAAAAAAAAAAAAAAAAGTTAATATTTATTTGTTTACTTTATTAAACATTTCTTTCAACGCGTTGCATGGGTAAAGCATACATTATGCATAGCCGAAATTAGAAAATTGCAACCAAAAAACTATTTGATGTGTAGTATTTATAAAGAGAGGAATTGATTAAATCATATCAAAGACGGATACATCGAGATGAAATACTACATTTAGTAAGGACTTATAAGCTGAATAAATATAAACATCTGCTGAAGATAAGGATAGACAGTTCAACTTCCAGCTCATTGCCCCCCAGTTTAAATCTGGTAAGATGGCATGCAGAAATTATAAAATTAAAAATATGAAACCGTAATTTATGAAATAAAGAGCAATTATGATCTAAAGGGTATCAAAATTTACAAAAAAAAAAAAAAAAAAAAAGCTTAATATTTATTTGTTTACTTTATTAAACATTTCTTTCAATGCGTGCATGGGTAAAGCATACATTATGCATAGTCGAAATTAGAAAATTGCAACCAAAAAACTATTTAATGTGTACTCGTGATATTTATAATGATGAGGAATTTGATTTAAATCATATCAAAGACGGAATACATCGAGATGAAATACTACATTTAGTAAGGAATTATAAGCTGAATAAAATATAAACATCTGCTCTGAAGATAAGGATAGTGCTGACAGTTCAACTTCCAGCTCATCGCCCCCCAGTTTAAATCTGGTAAGATGGCATGCAGAAATTATAAAATTAAAAATATGAAACCGTAATTTATGAAATAAAGAGCAATTATGATCTAAAGGGTATCAAAATTACAAAAAAAAAAAAAAAAAAAAAAAAAAAAAAAAAAAAAAAAAAAACTTAATATTTATTTGTTTACTTTATTAAACATTTCTTTCAATGCGTGCATGGGTAAAGCATACATTATGCATAGTCGAAATTAGAAAATTGCAACCAAAAAACTATTTAATGTGTATCGTGATATTTATAATGACGAGGAATTTGATTTAAATCATATCAAAGACGGAATACATCGAGATGAATATACATTTAGTAAGGAATTATAACTGAATAAAAATATAAAACTTGCCCTGAAGATAAGGATATGCTGATGTTCAACTTCCAGCCACCGCCCCCCCGAGCAGTTTGTGAAATTGATAAACAGATTTCGGAATGTTAGAGAAACAAAGGATTGCCTTTATCCATTTTTTGCAGCAATTCAACTTTTTGTTTGATGGACATTGAAACATACTTTCGCTTTGACAGCTCCAGCATTGGAAATTCTATTTGACATAATCGAAAGTTCAAGCTTACTTTTATAAAATTGCTCTAACAGTCTGCAAAAAATAATAAGGCGGATCCAATTCGAAGATTAAGGAACAACACAATCTGCAACATTAACTGAAATTGATCATTAGATAATTTTAGCTTAGCTTATACCGTCTGTTATACATTAAACACGCATGCGTAAACGTATTATGCGCATGTGTAAAAGTATTACGCGCATGCGCAGAAAATTTGTAGCTTTGAGGTCCGGATTATGGGTGTCCGTATTAACGACTTTTGACTGTATACCATTTTTGTAAGATTTGTATAAACTGGACTGTTATATCATAGCTTTGCACAAATAAAATTAGACATTTTCTTCATTATTCATTTCCTTCATATTGCTTTTTCTTGTATGTCTATCTAATGTAATACAGGTATGGACATATTTTGTAGGTAAACACTTTTCTTTTCATTAACAAAACAAGGTTATTCATTTTTGTAATTAGTTTTATTATTAAACTTACATTTGTAAAGTAAATTTTATTATGCTTTCAGGATGAAGGATTTTGCTTCATGCGTACTCCTATTATTACACAAAATGATTGTGAAGGAGCTGGAGAAACATTTTCTGTAAAAGTAAGTGATGTTATAAAAATTGTTTTTAGTTTAATGTTATGCAAAAATCTGAATATAATATTTTAAATGTTTAGTATATTCCTTAAAATGTCTGGGTCACCAGTAGCTAAGCAAATAGTTACTAGATTTCTGCAGTGCTATTTCAGGCTGTATAGAGTTTTCTAAGTTTTCTCCATATTTAAATGAATATGAGCACCTTTTTCTTTGAAAATTCTCCATAAAAATATCCTTCCTTAGAGACACAGCTTTTGAATGCTTTGCTGTAACTAATAAACTTAAAAAAAAACTAACTAATAAACAGAAATTTCTACGGTCTTCATATTTTTGCAGCAAAATTATGCTGTATTCAAAAACATTATTTCAAGAATGCTTTATTCATTATTTAGATGACTTATTACATCATTTAATTACAATCAATGAATTATTAATCATACATATAGGTGATTATTCCTTGATGCCACAAAGGCAGCAGCATTAGCTAAATAATCAATATTGATTTCTAAAAAAAGTTTTTTTAATGTTTAAATGTAGAAAATTGGCATCTTTCATCTAATTAAATAGTTGATAACAGTATTGGAGGAGTTAAAGCAACAAAAATCAGTGCAATATTTATAAATTTGCAGAATTAGTTTTGAAGGTTTAAATATAGAGCCTTCTTTTTTAGCTATAGAAGTGCAAATGGGCAAAGAGAAGTGGTGATAAGATAAAGCATGAGAATAACAGGAAGGAAGTCAAGCTACTTGGGCCATCTATTTATGCTAAATGAAAACAACTGTGTAATAATTTTTAAAAGCTTAGGTTAAAAATGGATTGGAATTGGAATTGTTAACTAAGATTGAAAGATTTTTATGAATGTGAAATGCCCCTAGAAGATCTAATTTGCCAGCAGATGTTTTTTGAATAATTTTGGCTGTCCCCCCCCCCCAAAAAAAAATAAGAAGTAGAAAATGTGATTTTCTGATGAAATAGTGTTGGGCAACAGAGGATTCATGTATTTCTTTTTTCATAGCATATGCCTTATATTTCTTAGTGGGAAATTTTAAGGCTGTTTAGTTAATTTGACTAATGTAATAATTACTGGCATTTATTCATTATATATATATATATATATATATATATATATTTGTGCTACTAGAAATAGTCCTTAAGTATGGAACTGCAAAGTTTCTTCTGTCAATAAAATTTTCAGTTTCATTTTCATCCACTTTTCTTTGGATAGGTATAGTAAATTTTACTTAAATTTTCATCTGTTTTGTATATTTAATATTGTTTGTCCTTTTTGTTTTATATTTAATGATCTCCATGTTTGATTACGGCCATTTAAATTTGCTTATGAACTTAAATACTGTTGTAACATTTGAATAAGCAATTATCTGTGGTCCAGGAATGAAATTAAATAATTTTAAATTGACTCATAAAGAAACATTTGTTTCAGTTGACTAGCTGTCTTCAGTAATAAATTAAATTTGTGAACCAGAGTTTCACTATATGGAACTTAGAAATTCATTGTGAAAGCATTTCAGATATTCATAAACTTACCATTTATATAGTGAATTGCTTGAGAAATCTTTGTTACTTGTGGCTGTGTTGCTTTGTGCGATCAAAGTTTCGTTATATTTGAAATGAACTTGGAGATTTCTTCTGTACCAACTATTTTGTTACTACAGTGCATATACTTAATGGGATACAGAAAATTTCTATATGGTCATCCAAAGATTATGAAAACTCCATGCAACCAACACATCTGACATTCTAGATAGAATCAAAATCTGATCAACTTAACTATTTTCTATAGCTTTATTTAAGTACTTATTGATAGGTTCACTAAGTTTGAAATCTTACTTGTATGCCATTATGGAATTGATGAGGTTTGCACTAGTTTGCAGGAACCATTCGCTAAAATGCTGTAGCAAACCAGTTGTTAACATCAAATTGTAGTATTTAGTTCTGTAATTCAAGGATCTTGTAACTAAACAGTAAAGTGGTTGTTAAATTATTTGAATCCTGCGATTGATTATACATATATTGTTTTTCAGTACAGTTTACATTCAGTACAGTTTTAATTTTTTCCTTTTAATCACAACAGTATTTAGATTTTTTAAATTATACATACTTTCTTAATCTAAATTAAACCTAACACTTTTTTTCCCATAGAAAATTAACTTTTCAGACCACAGTTTTGCTGTATGTGCAGTGTATTAATGATGTAACACCATGTTTGACAAGTGTTTAGCGTATGTAAAAAAGAAACTGTAGATATATTCTGTACTGCTCTCTTTTAATTTTACTTACAGTGCCGAGAAAAGAAATCTCATTTAGATAAACAAAATAATGAAATTTTGAAAGATGGGACCAAAAAAGAAGAGGAAAAGATAGCTTTAAATAATCCAGTCCAAAGTAAGCCAGAAGAGTTTTTTAGCACACCAGCTTACCTTACTGTTTCTGGGCAACTGCATTTAGAAGCAATGGCATGGTATGTTATAAAAACATCCTTGTAAATATTCAACTATAAGAAACTCAATTTGGAAATTGAATGATTTTAATTTTGTGGGAAGATTAGTAACAAACTTAGAATTTAACTAATAGATTCTATATAACATTAATATAACTAATTTTCCTTAACATTAGAACTTATCTATTAGCAGAAAATAAAGTATAATTTTCGTTCTTGAATTAGTAGTATGCAAAAAGTTAAAAATCAAAGATTAGAAAAAGAAAAAAGCATGATCATTTCCTTAATATTCCACCCTTGGGGAAAAAAAGGAATTTTCAGTGTGCAATCACAGAAGATTAAATACAAGTAAAATCTTGAATAATTTTAATAAAAGAAATGGAAATTTTATATAAATATCAGTGTCTGTATTTACATTAAAAATTAAGGAACAGAGAGCATCTGGAATTTGTTTGTAGTTTTTACTAAACAGAGACACTATTTTATGACAAAGTACTTTAGAGCTGGCTGCATTTTTCACTAAATAAGTATAATATTAAAATTAATAAAAAAAATTAAATTACCAGAGATTTTGAACAAACTCATCAATTTCGAAGGTGACCAGACTTATGTCCCTCTGCTTCTAAAGAAGAAGGACCTGATCACACTCAAAATGATTTTTATTCAAAATCCACCCTGAACTAAAGTTGCTTCTTTGTTTACTTATTTATTTTATTTTGGCTTGTTTCGTGAAAAAGGATAGGGAGGCAACATACAATGTTGCAACATTGTATGTTGCCATAAAGTATTTATGTAACAACCCACAATGCCTCTAAAAAGTATTTATCTGACAGTCCAGGTATATGTGTAGCACATGTGGATTCACATTTTTGAAATTCAGTTGTAATTTTTCTGATTAGTACAGTGAAACCTTCGTTCATAAATGTCTCACGTCATGAAAAGATTATAGTGACAAAATATGTTGTGAACGATGAATGGTGTCTCAAATTACAAGCACTCAAGTCATCAACAAATGATTTTCAAATGTGTTTTGAGATAACCTTTGATACAGAAGTAACATGGGGGGACTTCTAGAAACAGTATCTTGATATTTTCTATTGCTTAACTGTCATTAAAAAAGCAAGTGGTTTGTGTGCATCATGAATTTGGCATGGAGAAAATTATGGCTAAACTGTATTACAAATGGAAATTTTTAAGATTTGGATACTGAGTTATTTTTTAAAAATTTATGATCTATGATGTAGTGTTTGAATGCAAAACCAAAGCTTGGAAGTTAGCAGTAAAGATGTGGAAGAGTTACTAGATGGCCATAAAAAAAGATTCAATAAGAAGACAATGTGCTCAAAATATTTTCTTGAGTTCCTAAACTGTTGTTACACATAAATTTAAGATTTTTACTGAGTTTTTTTTTGATTTATGAACCTATCGTTGTTGCTGCGTCATTTTAGCAGTAAAGATGTGAACGATGAATAATTCCTCAAATAATAAGAAAGAGGCATCAACATATTTTTCTGCAGTTTTGAGATAACTTTGATACCTAACTTGTGTCATCAGAGTGTTTAACTGTCATTAAAAAAGCAAGTTTTGTCTGTTTAACTTTAGTTTATTGGGACAAAGGAATAAAGTATTTTTAAGATTTGAAAGAGTTGTTTTTTATAAACATCTAAATAGGTGAATTAACCAAAGCTTGGAATGTAAAGCAGATAGGTTTATTAGTTGTGCCATAATAAGTTTCAAAAGAAAAATGCTGTCCAGAGGCACTGCAGATCAAGAGAATGAAAGTTCCCACATAAATTCTTGTCTTTTTAGTTTGCCACTTTTATTCAAGTTTGGAATGCAGTTATAATCCAAGTATTCACCTTATTAAAAAGTTCAGATTATTTATTAATAATAAATAAAAAAATACAATGTATGTATATAATTTTTTTGTACCTCCCATTCTTAAATTTCTCCTATGTGGGAACATTATGAGGAAAATTTACTTTATTTATGGCAGTCAAATAATATTTATTCAGTCTTAACTATTGCAGGTATTTTTTTAATCAGCAGTTTTAATTTTTAAATATATAATTAATGAATATACATATTATATATCAATTGAAATCTTAAAAAATAAAACATTTATTTGGCATGAATTTGAGTATTAAAAAGTCAGATGTATTTTAAGTCCTTTATAGGTTTTTTTTCAGCAAGCAATTTAAAAAGCATATTAGAAAAATTGAATTTTCTTTCTTTCTTTTTTTTTTTTTCTTGTAAAGTTACTCCTTTTTTAGCACAGTTTCACGTTGTACATTTTGTATTAACTTGGCATACTGATTTAAATTTGCTTTAGCTTGATATGACTATGACTACCTAACATAGCCCAAGTACTTTTACCAAGGTGATTCATCTTTAGATGAACAGAAAGAAATAGAGTACTGAAGGAAATAAATAAATAAATAAAATAAAATAAAATAAAAAATCTATAATGTGAAATTTTGAAATGATTAAAAGACATACAAAAGTGAAGCTAAAAAGAAGTTTGGTAAAGTAATAAAGAAGTAAGTTAAATGAACATAACAATAGTGTAAACCCTTTTGAGACAAGAAAATGATTATAAGACGAAAGACTGCCATTGCTACTGTAGTTGGTCATACATGAAAAGAATAACTTTAAAGATGAAAAAGATTTTGATAAATACATATGAGCTGCAGCTGCATGAGAGGTAATTGTACATACTTACAATTACTCTTCACTTTTTCTGACATAAACTATGTTTTCTGGTGTCCTCCCCCGTCCCAGTTTTTCAGCATCAGGTTCTGAAAATTTTAAAAATATTCATGTAATTATTTCTTTCCTCAAGTGTGTTTAGAGAACAAGTTCTCCTTTCATTAATGTAGTGATTGTTTTATCTTATTAACAAAAGCAAACCCTTGCAAACTACCTGTGAAGGTCACATCAAAACTTTCCCTTCTAAATGTTAAACTTTGTCAGCCTAATACCAGAAATGACCTATTGCGATAAAGCAAACATGAACTGACATCTGCGCATTCACCAGAAATCATTTGCACATTCACCTTCTCTAATTTGTGGATAATTTGAGGCTTAAGAAGCAGCAAAAATAAGATTTGGTGAGAATCAAGTTATAGGAAAATAGAAATGAAGATTTCTTAATAGATATTATAATGTCAGTGTTACTATATATTTTTACTGAAATGCACATTTCTTTTAAAGTGGTGGTTCTCAACCTGTTTTGCTCATATGCTCATTTCACTCCCATTCCAAAATGTGAAGAATACATTTTATTTAAATTATTTTTAACGTAGTTTATAAATTAAACAAGAAAAAGTGTAGAAAATGTTGATGAATACCAAAACTTGAATAAAAGTAATTTTTTATATTCATAAAACAAAATTAAAAACTTTAGAGGTAAATAAAATGCTGACCTTATTCCTTCCTGAAACTATTAAATTCTCTCGTTGTTGAAAACCCCTATTTTAAAGAAATAATATTATGATGGTTACCTGTAATTTATACATGACTATTTTTCACTTTTTGTATTCTTACTGTAACTGCATCCTTCATAAATTGAATTATTTGCTCGTTTTTCCCTCTCAATTTTTGGATGATAAAATTAGTGAAAAAAAAGGGGGAAGAATACTCAAATAAGTATAATATGCTGTTTCACAAGAGGCTGGATAGTACTTTTTTTTCATTAAATGGAGTTCTAATTTTTAAATGGTTGTTTCTTTTATACACGACCTATTGCCACAACAACACTGATATATTTTCAATTGGCAATATAATCTAAATCATCAAGTTGAAAATCAGAGTAAGAAAATTGTTAAAATACAATATTTATTGCCAAAAATGAAATGAATGTGATGAATCAAAAATTGCCTTTTAAATATGCCTTTCAAAATATCATGGACCTTTGTTATTAAAAAAATGCTTTAAGTTTTTCATTTGAAAGAACATAATGAATCAGTACAGAAATATCAGGAAGTTCTGGATGATTTGAATGATTGATCCAAAATTTGGAGGACGCATGTAAGTTTGCTAAATAATTGATAATAACAATTGATTTACTAAACTGGGAAGTATATAAAAAAGAGAAAATAAAAGTGTCTAAATTAGTGTAGATAAACTCTTGTTGCATAGAGAGGGGAAAAGTTTTACTTAAATAATAAGAATGTTTGTAATTCTTATTGTTAAATTTTTATTCATTTAAATTTTATTAGAGGTTTTAAAAGAGAAATATAAATATGAAAGAAGATTTTGGCATAGTTGGATGAATTATACTTTACATGTACTTTTATATTTGATTAACACTATTTCATTTAATGTGGCATTTTAAAAGGATTAATTAATTAATCCATGATATTTAAAAAAATTTTTAATTTTGCTTTTCTTCCATTCTTAATAAACAGAACTGAACATCTTATATGTCATTTGCTCAAGTATTTGAAATACGCAGCTATTGATTTTTTATTTTGCTACTAGTAAAAAGAGGTTACTTGACAATTTGCAAAAAGTCTAACCTTTATGCTTGAAATAAAGGCAGATAAAGTATTCTGTTTTTCTAATTTTTAAAATTTTTGCCTGTTTTATTTTATTTGTAAAAATGAAAATAATTCTGATCTCAAAATACAAATTTAAATTTCAGTGCATTTACCAAAGTGTATAACTTTGGGCCTGTTTTTAGAGCTGAAAATTCACAGTCACGACTTCATGCAAGTGAATTTTATATGATTGAAGCTGAGTGTGCATTTATTGATTGGATTGATCAGTTAATGCAGGTCAGTGTAAAAGTTTGATATTTAATCTGTTTAGTATTTATAAACAAATAAATAATTAAAAAGTAACATTAAATAATAATACTTTATATTTTGGAATTTCATTTTGTAGGTATTTTATGCAATTTGAGATTTTATTCTTTTTTTGATTGTAAGTTGATTTTTTAAGATAGCTGAAAAATGCATCAAGCAAGTTGCACATACAGTGGTAGATAATTGTGTCAATGAAGTAAAATTTATTTCTCAAGATATCAGAGACCATGAAGAGTACTTAAGAAGAATAATTGGAGAATCTTTTGTACGGTAGGTATAGTTCATTCTAAAATTTGTAACTTGCTTATTAATTCATTTATTGAATTTAGTTAAAATTGTATTTTAATTACAAAAAAATATTTATAGGATGTCATACAATGATGCTATTAATATATTAGAAAACAACAAAGACTCACTAAGTGTACCAGTCAAGGTAATTTGATAATGTTTACTTTTAAAGATTTCTTAAAATTTTATGTTTGATTTAATTTATGTATGAAGCATTAAGTAAATGGATACATATGATGGGCTATCTTATATATTCTGCTTTAAAATTGTGAAGGGAAATTCATATGTCACTCAGATTTTATTGAATAAACAAATCAGTGATTTTTTACTTCCTTGTACGAAGTAAAAAGGAAGTATTGTAATCGCGAAAAGTTTCAGGCAGCATATTTCAATGAAAATATCCATTTTGACCGCTATTGAATGCAATTTAACGCCGTTTTTGCATGATATCTGTACGTAAGGACAGAATAAAAGACTCGTTTCCTCCAAAAAATTATAAAACTGCATTAAAATTAATTCTGAAGAGAATTTTTCGTGGCGTCTGTGCGAATGTATGTGCGTACGTATCTCGCATAACTCAAAAACGAGTAGCCTCAAAACAGTGAAATTTTGTATACAGGACTGCTATAACATGTAGATGTGCAACTCTTATTTTGGTTGCAATCGGCCGCACCAAACGTATATAAATATATTTATATATGTATCCACTCTGTTACCTGGCTCAGTGATCTCAGTTTCTTTACTCTTATATGTTTCTAAATTGTACATTTTTTGCTTTAAAAATGATTGAATTATGTTGTTCTTATCTTCCGGTTAAGGTTTTTATGCCTTTAGTAAATCTGTATGCAATATTTTTAGAATTATCAACAATTTTAAAGTTGTTTAAGTGCCACTAAGTTTTTTTTTATGGTGGCCATTGATTGTTTACATTTGAAACAGCAGACTGGTGGATTTGTTGCCAATCTAGAGAAACATAGCTTCGCAACAACAAAGATAACGCCTTCATTTATTATTGGAATTAAATCCTGCTTAATCCTTTCTGGAATTTTTTCGAGGAAATAAGTGTTTAAGTATTTTTGCCTTCTTGCAAAGTGAGAACTGAATTAATTGAATGAGAAAAACTCAATCGTCTGTGAAAAACTGTTTCTTTTTTGTTTTATTTGCTCAATTTCTTTTATACATCATTCTAGCTTTATTATAGTATTTGAATAGAACATGTGGAAACGATTAGATAATTCTATTCTTTAAATGATATAAATTTTGTGCTTTATGAGTTATAATACGAACGAAATATAATACTGTTAAGTGAATCTAGCGCCTGAGTGTTGCTATGGTAAACAAATATCAGAGTGAATTTTAAAGAATGCATTTATTCTACTGTGGTTTATGAGCTGTCGGCGAAGTAGATTTAATTCAATCCAATAAGTTTAAGTGAAATGCAAGAAAAAATGTGTATAATTTAATATTCCGTACAAGGAAGTCATGTGGTGTACACATCAGATTTTTATTATTCAAAATGTTTATAGTTATATTTGAAATTATTTTATTATGTACATCATAAAGTTTCTGATTTTAAAAATTTAAGCTTCTATTAAGTTGTAAATCAATATCATTATTGAATTTTATTCATGCTCAATCTATGAGCAACATCCATTTTAAACTTTTAAAGAAAGAATTTAATATAAAGTAAGTGACAAGATAATAATCTATATGTATGCATATATATCTGTTTTTATTTAAAGTTACAATATTGCACTTCATAAGGAACAGTACTTTTATAACAATTAAGAAGTTGAACATTCATAAGTCTCAATCAAACTTACATTAGTTACATTTATCAGGCAAACCTGTGACAGAAAGGTAATGTGAAAAATCTTATAAAGTTGGAGCACTTTTATTCGCTTTTTAATGTGTTATTCTTGAGTTCAGCTGAAATTTGCATATAGAAAAAATAACTAATCTGAGTGCAAATCTTGCAGCAATTTGAAGTTTATTTTGTAATTTTTGAAGATGCACTTTTTTTCTACACACTTTTTTTCACTTTCAAGTTCTTTATAATGCCCAGATGTATTAGCTGAAGCCCCAAACTCATCAAAATTGTCTAGTTTTTATTACAGAATTTGAAAGGCGATTGTATTTTTAGATGAAGTATATGTGAAACATCATTCATATGCTCCCCAAAAAAAGTATATATATATCTAGAGAGAGAAATGACTTCTTGTAATGTTGGGTCTTTGCACATATATATTTTGCATAAATACCCTATAATGTTGGCCTTTTTAACACATGCAGGTAGTAATAAGCATTTTACATAGCTTTTTATTTCATATTTATTACACATCTAAAAATTTAGCTATTAACTTAATACTTCCTTTTGGTATGTTCTGCTTTAAAACAAGGAGCAATGCTAGAAGGTTTATATATATTATATATATATATATATATTGAAACAAGGAACCAAAAGATAAAATAAATAAATAAAACATGCAGATTATAATAATATAACTTAAAAGCTATTTTATATGCTTGTAATAGTAATGTTATAACAGTTTATGAATTTGTTATAAAACTTAACTAAGCAAAATGTTTAATTTTATTAGTTAAAATGTTTAGCTTAATTAAAGTAAAATGTTTATCAAATGCAACACAATGTATCTATAAGAATGCACTTATTTCATTACGAATTCAATAGCCAAAACAAATTTTAAAAACAATAAATAAACCTTTAAACTTGTTCCTAGGGTTAGCTAATGCCATTAATCACACGTGGAAACAAAAGTGCATTAAAATAAATTATATGGAATAGTCTAAAACTAAAACTTTGGAAAGGAAGATGCCTGTGCCACGTAAGGGCAAATCGTATTGCACAAGAAAGGGTTGCCCTCATGATGTATAGGCAAAACTGTTAAGCAATTAAAAAGCATACTTTTCTGAGATAGTAACTGATAAAATTTAATTTTCATCTGCACTGTAGACATCTCAAAGTTGTAGAGTATGAATTGAGTCCCTGACTAATCTTTAACCAAATTTCAGCAACATTTTAATAAGTATTTTTGATTTTAATTGTCAGAAAGAAAAAAAAAAAGTGGAAAGGACAGCAACTACATTTATTTTAAAATTTTAACTGAATTTTTATTTGCCTTCAGATGTGAAATTCAGATACATAGCATTAACTATATTGCCACATAAATAATACTAATGGTAACATAGTTATTGCTAATGCACATATCATTTAGTATATGAGCAAGTTGTGGCATAAAAACACTTAATTTGACTCGTACATCGATGGTTCTTCATGTCATGCTGTGGTGAATAAAGAAACTTCTTTGATTCTAATTCTACTTCATGACGCAAAATATATTTACACATATTTACAAATTTGTTGGAGTACCTCTACATTACTACACCCATCCATTCTCTTCACTCTCTCTCACTTTGTCTGCTGAAACTTTTTAATAAACTATACATACGTGGCAGTGCAGCACGCTCTAACTTTTTCTCCACAAGTTGATAGTGCTTTACCTTGGTTCATTTTAGTTATCACTTAGACTTTAGACTACAATTTTAGAAGAAAGTGGTAATATTTTATCTGTTGTAAGTCTAAAAATTAACTTGTAATAACATCAGTGAACAGCTGTTTAATTAATCTCTGAATAATGTAACAGAGGCTGAATAACAGGTATGATATTTTATATAAGTATCATTCATTCTTGCAAGTTAATATTAAAATGGTAAGAATGGGTAATTATGAGATAAAGGGGGGAAAAGCTCAAACAAAGGAGAGTTTAATGAAGTCATATATTTATGTAACCTAAAGGATTTGCAGTCTTCCTTTAAATTACATGGATAGATTTGGGTCTGCTGTATGACAAAAGATGTTATAAAGCATTGTTATTTTTAGGTTTTAGGGAGAAAAAAAAAAAAAGCTCAATGAAAATAGTATTTCATTTGGTGCAGAAAATAGTTAAGAATTTCAGTACATGTGTTTATTTTAAAAACTCTTATTTGTTAAAACAATTAAATAACTTAAGAGAATATGAAAATTCAAAAGACAAGAAAACTTCAATAAATTAAAACTGTTGCATCCAGGTTTAATTATGTGAGTGCATTTGTAAAGCATTTTTCTGTAACCCAGTTCTGGATACTACAAACGTAATGGAGAAAAACATGTAAATTTTTATAATTCCTGTTAGTTATATATATATAAAATTTTTATGTTATAATTTTCAGTCCACAAAATATAAAATTTTTATAGTTCTCAGCATTATATCAGGTTAAAATAGTTTATCATATACATACATAATTTGTAGTCATTATAATGTAAATATCATTTTATATTCCATAGCATTTGCTATTCTTAAAAAGGCCTTTTTGTTATTTTTTAAATTGGTAATAGAAAAATACAATTTTTAATAACTAAAACAATTATTACATTATTTTTGTAAGTTGTTTTATAGCACATTAATAAGCAAACTATATTAGGATACTGTTTTCTGTAGGAATTTTAGTGTTTTTTGTAACTATCCTAACTAATAAAGATTTTTTTTTTTAAGTCTTAATGTCCTTTTTAAAAAAAATGCTGTAGTAATTGTATGTACACAAATATATTCTAAAGTTTAACTCTTGTTTTTCAGTGGGGTGATGATCTGTCTACTGAGCACAAGTTTTTCTTAGTTAAACATTGTAATAATGTTCCTGTATTTGTGTGTATGTTTCCTTCATCATTAAAACCATTTTATATGAAATCAGATGAAAATGGAATGGTAAAATTATTATTTTTTAAATTTTTTAAAAATGTCTTTTACTTTTTACATAGTTATTATATAATGTTTATCTACTACAGTTATTTAACTGGATAGAAATTTGAATTTGTTATATGCCTTTGATTCATATGTGAAATCTATTATTAAACTTAATAATATGAACACTATTTTTTCTTCTCAGGATTTATTGTAGGATTTATTCTCAGGATTATTTGTGATTATTAAAAATAGTTTGAGACTAAAATGTCTGTACTTTTAAGATAGATAAAAGTATCCTAGTGGAAGTTATTATCTCTGTATAGCACAAGAAAGAAAGTGTTATCAGATCCCTTCCATAGTAATATGACAAGAAGGGGGGGCATGGATTTACTGACAAATTTACAATGTGATGGGGTACAGCTTTAATTTTGTACACCACTGTTGTGCAATAAATTTCCCCTGTTTACCTAGCAAATTACACTTTAAAACTAGTAGCTGTTAACCTTAATATGCATTAGAATTCTCTTTGGGTTTAAAATATTTACATAAATCCGAAAGAATATTATACTTCAAACAAGCACAAGCACATATTGTCAAAAATAGAAGCTGGTATTCAAGCCCTTAATGGTTTCACAGGTGATGATTACAATGTGGAAGTGTAATTTAGTTTTTTTTAACTGATTTTAAATTAAGCACAAGGAACTTATATTTTTTATTCCTGCTGTAATTTTGCAGCAAACATTATACAGTTTCATTCACTCTGAAAAATGCTAAATTTAGTATATATTTAAATGACACTTTAAGTATTATCATGCTATAAATGTTCACCTAAAAGAACACTAGCTTTCACCTGTCGTATTTAGAAAAATTAAGTGAATAATTTCCAGTCCATAATAAAAAATTAAAAAAAATATAAAAAATTACTGTTTTTATTACCAAGGATATAAATGCAGAAATAAATCTGAATATTTTTAACCCAAATAAACCTTGATTGACTATTTTAATGCACAAACCCACAGGAAATGATACTGCTAAGATTATAAATTAGTATAGAAATTATGCTTGCTTAGCTCTTTCATTTTTAAATTATTATTATCATATACAAAAAAATAATATACTTGGAACTTGCATACATAATTTGGAACTTAAATAACCCATTATTTATGAATAGCTGAAAAATTATGCAGTATAAAAATGCATAATTTTTCAGCTATTCATATATAATATGCAATATAAAAATCAACTGTCTTCTCCCATTTTGGGGGAGAGGTTGAATTTTGATACAAATGATTAAGAAAGTAGCACTTCTCTAATCATTAGCATATGAAACTGTTTATGGTGTGAAATAATTTTTTTAACATGGAACTTAACATTCATATTTCAGTATTTTAGTTCAGTTATATAAATTTTATTTATCTCCCATAATCAACTGTGATCAACGAAAAGCATGAAAATAGCATATGCTGATGAAATGCAAACTGATGGAAGAATACAACAAGAATTTGAGATTTTTCCATTAACATGATTACCATTATACAATTGTTTACTGTTACATTCTTTATAAAAATATTATTTGTACCATTTTAAAACAAGTAACAAGTATATAATTGGCTAATATTCAAATGAAGTAATTTCTAAGATATATCAATAATGATAAGTCTCATTTGTGAGACTGTTTTGAAATAACTTATCATACAAATATATTGAACCTTAAATGTCTGTAACCAGGACAGTCATTTTTGGATCACTTTTTCCTTTTCTTTCCCCTTTTCTGTAAACAATAATGTGGTCATTTTGAATAATAATATTCACATTATTTGTACTTTTCCAAATTTGCATTCTCTTTAAATTTAAAGGCACACTGTTTTGATTTGTTTGCTGCTTATGGTGGAGAAATATGTGGTGGAAGTTTAAGAGAAGATAATGAAGAAGTATTGCAGAAAAAATATCCATTTTATGAAAATGGTTCTTTATTATGGTATGTAATGTTTAATTTTGTGTTCAGTATTACTTTAATATAATAATGAGGATTTTTATCATTACCTCCTCCAGCATAAAATCCACTTTACCGCTTCCCCAAATTGTTTACATAAACTTGCAATTACACTGAATAATTGTGAAAGGAATGTCATTAACTTCATTACATTTTTTCATAGGTATTATAATAGACTATTTGCAAAATTATCTGCCAGTATGTTCCATTTTACTTCCATTTAGTGAAATATCTTTCTCAAATAAATATTTTCTGTGCCTTCCTGAATTAAATAGTCTTGTGTCTTGGTTAAATAAATAAACACTTTGAGTAAAATCTATGAATGAAAGTGTACATAAATAACTTTTACCAAACCACAAATTAGTGATTAGAAAATATGAGATCGAGGCCCACTAGTGGCCGAGCAGTAAAGTCGATGAACACTGGTAGTTCGGTCTTAGGTTCAAATCCCACGAACGGGCTGGCTTCACGGGCGTTTTCGTGGGTTTTCCCATATGTAACGTGTATATGAGCCAGTTTCCCTTAGAAAGTCCTCTACGAAGGCATCCCTCCCCTTAACCCCTTCGTGCCGACTGTCACGTATACATGCCAGCAACGAACACACTTACCTACCGGCCGACACGCAGGCGTGCCAGAGGATTGTTCCGTTCTCTACCGACTGTCACGTATTTGTGCCAGTACATTGGAACATTTTTCAAACTATAATTTCTGCCACAAGATGGCACTGTATGTCCATATGGTTTCAGATACTACATTAGACCTTCTACTCGAAATGAGAGAAGCATGACTCACATACACGTGTTTTGATTTATAAACAAACAGGGAACTAAATGTTTTCCGAATGGCGTGATTTATGACGTCTCTTTAAATCGCACTTTATTCGCACGTGGTAGTTGTTTACTGTAAGTAGAGAAGTTTTATTTGCTCTAAAGCATTGGGTATTTCGGTTTGCAGTTCAGTTTTTAGAAAATAATTAGATCTTGTTAGTCTTGAATTCTTTGTTTTTACCGTTGCAATGTCGAAGCATCTAAAATGTTTAACAGAGCATGAAATAGCAGAAATGATGCAAAATATTTCAGATATTGATTCTGAAAGATTAACTGAAAGACATTTTCCAAAACTTTGTTCAAAAGAGACTGATAAGAAAATGAGATGACGATGCTTCGTTTGTTCACATTCCCGGAAAAATCCTCCAAAATGGCAAATGAGTTATTACGAGTGCAAGGAATGTAACATAGGACTGTGTGTAGATCCCTGTTTTCAAATTTTTCATACGAAAAGAGAATTTAAGTAAATATTTAGTTTTCAGATGTATAATTAAAATTCATAAAATGGTGAGTAATTAAAATAAAATGTGTAAAATATGCATTTAAACAAGAAATAAGGTAATTTAAAGTAATATATAAAAATATCTATAAAGCATAAGCCGTTTAAATACTCTATAGAGCATTATTAAACAATGCGTTGATACTTCGGAAATTTCATGGATTTAGGCTTAGTAGCAAAAAAGCCCTCGGCCCTGGAGAGACGCTCGCGTAAGACACTGCCGGCCTCAGTGATAAGCGCGTGTTTTCGCTACCCGGCTCGAAGGGGTTAAGCAGATAGTCCTAGTGTGCTTTGCTGTAATTAAATAAACCAAACCAAAATATGAGGTCGCAAACCACTGGCAAAAGTGTGCGAATTCCGAAAATCGTTTTCTTACAGATCACTAATTTGTGATTTTTAAAGCCTGAATTCGGCCCTAAGACATGAAGATATCGGTTTAAAATGTTCTTAATCATTTCTAAAACAAAACTGTTTGTGGGGTAAGGCAGAACTGCAATGGCTTATGGCAGAAAGAAGCAAATGATTTATGCAAATAATCTAAACAGTTTGGCATAATTGAAAGATGCGATACACCGAAATGTCATAATATTCCTCCTGATATGCTAAGAGTTGCTGTTGAGAATACAAAGTAATACGATTTAACTTGCTTTTGGAAAATGGTGGACATCACATTGAATATGCTTTGTAACAAGTTTCAGAAACGATTAAACATATTTTAAACCAATGTCTTCTTTCGTTAAACAATATTGCATACAGCGTTATTCCCCCTCCTAGTGGTGAGTTTTTTAACTTTTTTTTTTTTCGGAAAATAAACTCCCATGTTCTCCTTTACAAGATTACCATGTCTAATAACATTTGGTCCACTAGTTTTCCTTTTATGACAATTTCAAAGTGGAATTTTAATTATAACCACCCTGTATATATATTTATTGTTACAGATTTTGTATTTAGTTGGCTATGTTTAGTAGAATTAAAATTGTTTTATATCCCCGTGCAATGCAATACGAGACTTACTTTCAGAGAAAACTACGCTGGAAAAGTAAAAATATAGAAGCACGTGCATTTCACATTTAATAAATAGATATCTCGCAATTTACATTTAAATTGAATAAATGTAAGTTAATTGTAACCGTAGTTCTACTCTTTTGCTTTCCAGAAACCTCGAGAAAATAGAAATTACCAGAACTTTCTCATGACCGATTAAAAAGCAGGAGAGAAACATCTCAATTCAGTTATTTACTTAGATGTTGTTAATTGCAGCGAATTCGTGGTGAGATCGGATTAGCGTTCTCTGCACTTTGGATTGCATTCTATTTAATGTTTTAGTAGTTTAAAATATAATTACTGCGTGTGATATCGTACGAATATCTTTGAAAAAAAATCCAGCATTTTTGTTATATTTCTTGTGATAAGAATAAATTTTATTAACTTTTTATCAGACTTGTGCATTTAATCTATTATGAACCTGTACGCATGCAACACTACATATATATGTATATAACTTGCTCAAATTTTCAATGCATAAATCATGGATGCCTCAGAAACAGTGAAGTATAATTTTATGAATTTGTGTGGAATGATATAAATATATAACACATAAATACAAGGGAAAAAATTTTAAGAGCACTACATATGATATCAAACTGTAACATAAAATAATAAAAATGGTAATAATATGGAGGGAGGAGACTTCAAGCAGTTACAAGGAGAGTTCAGGGGGAAAAAAATAATAAAACCAAAAAAAAAAAAAAAAAAAAATAAGGCTTATGAATTAAATATGGAACACAATATTCTGACTTGCATATATATCATAATGTGTTTTCATGCAGACAATAACATTATTAACCTTAAGTTGGGAAATTAAATTCTACTCTTCCAGCAATATGGTCTTTAGGACACTTACATCTCTAGAAGGATGTCTGTACAACTGCTTTTCCAAGGTAGTCTCATAAGTTCTCAGCCAGGTTAGGAGCAGCTTGGTGTCTTCATTTTCAAATAATTCATGAATGAGGTTAGCTTAATGTGGATGAGCAAATTAAAAATTACATAGATATGACCTCTGAAAAGTCTTGCCATAAGGTTCTAAGACCTCATCCTGATTCTTCAAGGGCATACATCCATTCATAATTTTTTCTTCCCATACCATCACACTTGCATTATCAAAACTGTCACAATCCATAATGTTTGAAAGATGATTTTACATTCCTAACTCCTCTGAGATATAAACATATTTAGAATCAGATGTTAAATTAAACCTCAACTCATCAGTAAAGAGACATAATGCTTTGATTTGTATATCCGAAACCATTTAATCATTTTTATTTGGATAATGCTAAATTAGGCTCGTCTTTCACATCCTGTGAAAATGAATTGCATATTTCATGGAATACTATCATTTTTAGGTATATAAAACTAAATTTGGGTGAGTGTATGGATATATTTGGGAGAAAGTAAATGCATGAATAGTGTAGATTAAATAAGTCAAAAAGTTCTGAACATTTTGAAGACTAGCAACTTTCTTCATTATTCAAAACAAAAACTAATAACCACTAAAAATAGATGCTTGATAAAAATTTGTATATTAGTCATCATTAGAAAATCTCATATTTCAGAGGAGCTTTGTTACTTAAGTAAATAAATTATTTTATAAATAGTATGTATTTAGCAGAGAATTCTGATGCCCAAATTACATAAATCTGGCTTTTCGAAGATTTTCAGTCCATTTCACCTTCAAGTTTCTTCTGAAAAAATATACTAAAATTATATTATTATAATTATGTAATTGTTTACATAAAATCCAAAAATGTTTGTTTCCTCATAAAACCTTTTCATCACTTTCAATGAAAGTATTTTTCTCTTTAAGCTAAAACACTTCCAAGTCATCGGTTTCTGAAATATTTTATTTGTGCGAGTATCATAGCAAAATCAAAATTCGTAATCCACTCTGTCCCTAAGCTTCACATGTGGACTTTATTTAAAGCCACAAAAATCGATCATAAAATGTGCTAAAATTTTTATCTTTTCTAACTGCTTACTGATACCCATGCACGTATAAATAGGCATTCCAGTCAATTTTGTTGAGTAGCATTCATTCATTGAATTATGTTTTTACAGATTTTGAGTAAATGTTTCATTTAATTAGAGAATTTCTTGGAACACATGTAGTAGAAATGCAAAGTATTGAGAAGAGACAACTCTGAGTTCTTTCAACAAACTTAAAAGAAAATACTATAATGAATATATTAAATATGTATTTTCAAGATCTGATGCATTGTACGAAGGATATTACATAATGGCAATATGAAAACCTTTATTCTTGTGACATTTATGATTGAATTATACTATGCAAAAAATAATAAAAAGATCTAATATTTTTCCACTACCTAGCAAAATATCAGAATATAATTCTCATCATCAATTAACAGGGAAAATGTGCTTGAAGCTTGTTAACTTATACTGTGGCTGAGAATTTTGTTTCCTGTAAAAGATGCTATTCTGTATATGAAGAAAAATGTGAATATCACTGCTCCCCCTAAAACAGTACTATTATTTCAGAATACCTCAATGTGTTTAGATTATAACAATAAGTAGAATAAAAATAATAAATTCTTTGACATTCACATTGACAAACTCACAAATGTTCCTATATTTTGCTTTTACTAATTCGAAAAGCAATGAAAAGAAAAACATTTGCTTTGTAATAATTTATTAAATAAACAAGAGGTCAGAATAATGCTTTTGAATACTACCCCCTCCTCCAAATAATTGGCAAAATTATTGATACAGAGACACTTTTAAATGGCTCCTAGGTATGTTTAGGTTTTGCTGAAAATGGAGAACATTACAAAAATTAAATTAGAAAGTTATGCCCAACTTTTATCAAAATAACAATTTAACAAATTTTAAAAAAATTGAGAGCTTGAAAAAAAAAAAAAGAATTATATGCAAAATTCATTCTAAAAATAACATTATGACAAAATATTTGCAATTTAAACAAAAGTGTCAATTAAGTTTTAGAAGTCTTAGTTTATTTACATATACATTTTACCTTTGAAATCTGTGTTTTAAATCAATATTCCAGTGTAAAAATAATATTTTAGAAATCTGTCTTGAAGAATATTTATACATAGTTTTAATTGTAGGAGAATTAAATTTACTTTCAACTAATAAAAGCACTTTAATCATTAAATACTGAAAACAAAAATAATAAAATTTCTTATATATTAGCTGAAAGTTATGCTTAAAGCTGTCATACTGTAAAAGCTTATTTTCATTTCTTAAATTGAAAATGACTGACCATTCAAGAGATTTGTATGCAATGTTTTGAAAAAACATGTAAATGCAGTTTAAATATAAAAATTCTATTATATAATTTTTTAAACTATTTATCATATACAGTAAAAGCCTGACTTTCAAGTATTCAGTTAACTAGAAAGTGAAAAGCTCAAGTAATTCAAATATTTTGGAACTTTTCTTTTACAAAAAGTTAAGCAATCATTATAAAGCCATTATAAAAGTGCATGGAGGACTATGACTTGGAATGAACGAACAAAACTGTCGCGAAACAAGTGCAATTTAACACCAATAATAAAAGCATGGTGTCAAAAATCTTTGGTTTGGTTTCATGTAAACCCAAAATTCTCAATTAGGCAGTTTAGTTTCTGTGAAAAATAGAATGAAAGTAATTTGAAAAGTGATTAAAATTTGGAACAGCATGCAACAGAATATTTACAAAATTATGTGGCCCTGACATAAAAAAAAGTGTGCATTAAATGACACAATAAGCTACTTATTCGAAAATGAATAAATAACACCGATGTAACATGAAATACCCTGTCAAGCAATATCTTTATACGCTGTATCCATAACTTGTATTTCTTGATTGCTTAGACATCAGTTCTTTCAAACTTCTGCAGGAATGTTTGACTGCATCTCCAAATTTTCACCGTTAAAGGGATTTCATAACTGAATTAGATGTTTTACTTTCATATGTTTATAAATATGTTGGCTTGTACATCTGAAATGAATACTTTTTTCAAATCTCATGAAATATTAAACATACATTTTTTATATTCATGTGGATAATACATGAGTTTATAAACTGAACATTTCTTCATTCATTTGGCTTTCCTACCCTGAATTGCATTTTTTATGTGCTTAGCTGTTTCGCATGTTGTGAGCTTTTCAAGTATCAAGCTTTTACTGTATTTACTTCCATGAAGAGTTATAAAATACATTCATTGTACATAAATTGATTTCCCAATATTAAAATCTAAATAATGCCAATTTCTCTATGTAAACTTTTACATATTCAATCTTTTTATTAATTGATGCTTTAAAACATTTTAATCTCCATATTGTTAAGGCTAAAATTATAACTATATGTATAAAAAATAAAAATTTATTCTTATTTCAGGTACCTTGACCTACGAAAATATGGAACAGTACCACACGGAGGTTTTGGAATAGGTTTTGATAGATTACTCCAAAGTATTCTTGGTGTTCCAAATATTAGAGATATAATACCTTTTCCAAGGAGGAAGTATGATTGTATATGCTGATTGTAATGCTATATTATTTATGTATGTGTTCATTTGTATAAAAAATTGCAACAGAGAATTTTTTTCAATATATTTGTTCTAATCATACAGAAATAACTGCAAATAAATGCAATATTTCAAGAAATTGATTTATAAACAATTTGCTTGCTACATTTTACATTAAAAAAAGAAAATGCAAATTTTAATATCTATTTTCCTATTTTGCCTTCTTCTGCAGACAATTCGTGAATTTTTCCTTTGTGACGCTGTATTTCATCTTGTAGTCTCTTAATTTCATCTTCATGATGGCTAATTTCCTCATGCAAATGACCTTTCAATTTTGAAATTTGATCTTTTTGCTAAAAATAAAGAATTTATTAAAAAATCAATATACATGGATTGTTTGACAGTAAAAAATTTATCCTTATAAATACATTTTCAATAATATATTAATTTGGCTACATCCACATTTTATATAAAGCTGAATTATATAAGATTTGAAACAAAGGGGAAAAAAGGAAATAATTTACTGCAGAATACCTCATTAATCCTTATAAAATCTTCTAGTTTTTTAAACAATGATGTTTTTGCTATAGGTTTTTGTTTATTTAATTTTCAACAAGGCTTAAATTTCTGCAAAATAAATTAGGAAATTGAAATCTTATTTTATCTGCATTTATCCAATGACTAAGAATATATAATACTACAATTTTATTACAAAAAGGCTTAACACTCCAAGCAGCCTATTTGCATATATATGTTAAAAATATTTATTATGATACTTTCAAAGTGTGATAAGTATACAGACACCTATCTTGAAATTTCTCAGGCTAAGCTCATAAATATCTTGGGAGAAAAAGAATCAATTTACAAATTGAAAGCCTCATTTTGGAATTATAATCAAGAAACTACCAATTACTTGTGGTCTTTATTGGAAGTTTATAGAGTTTTGGGATCAAACCCTTGGCCACTTGGAGGATTAAATCTAATTAAACTACATAAGTTTGCAAAATAAACAAATTACTTTTAATTATGTTCATTCATTAAATGCAGCAAAACCCGCACAATGGAATTAGTTTTTCAAATCTGTCTTCAAAAAAAATTTTTTTTTTTTACTGTAGAATTTTAGTTTATTATGCTAAATATTTGAATTAATAGTTTCACGATGCAATATCTTTGGCAATAAGTAACAATGTTTATAAAAGTATTAGATATCTAATACTTTTATAAATATTTTAATCCTTTTAGATTGTGTTTTCGATTCTCTGTATTGTAGTATTTTGCATAATTTTATTCATTTATTGTTTAAAGAATGGTACTTGTATGGTTTATTTTGTGTTTAATCCAATTTATAGCTACACATCTTATTTAAGTTTTTATTTGTTCTATAACATTGTATATCTTTTAATTCTGGTTGCAACAGCTTTAGAACTCAAGCTATATAGGCAATTTCATCCCTAAGGACATGAACAATTTTTATTGCTAAGTTTGCAATTTTCTGGAAGATCCACGGAAACACATTTTCAAAGCCCAACAATCAATTCTTCCAAAAGTTTCTTCAACTCATGCTTTTGTATTTACTAGTGTTTTTTTTTTTTTTTTTTTTTCCTTGTTATGATTTCATTGTATTATTGAAAACTGATGATATTACTTACTATTCTGCCTTTTTTACTTACGATTTGTAAGTCTCGTGTGATACTTTGTGGTGCACGAGGATTTCTTTTTCTTTAAATAAATTAAAAAAAAACTCATGCTGCAAGGTGTAAATATAGGTTGGAAAGATGGGGGGGGGGTTCAGTTGTGAACCAACTGCGAGATTTAGTGGTTAAGTGAATTGCCAGTTTGGGTTTACTTTGAGAAACGTTACTATTTATTTCAAGTGCAAAGACAGAAATGCTTATTATCTGCATTCTCAGAGTTATTTTCAGCTATTATTGTGCTGCATTTATTATTGATTTTGCTTATTTTCCCAATGCACTTTTACCTGCTTATCTGGACTTACTATTTAAAGAAACATCAATGATCATGTAGCTCACAATACTATGCAAAAAAAATTTACAAATTCATTTTCATAGAATACCTTTAAAAAGGTGCTTTATAAGTGAACTTCAGTCAGTGAAAGGTAGTACAAAAGGATTGACGTGATTAGGAGAATGGAAATGTGACAGGCACCAACACAGGTCTGCAAAGACCTAAACAAGCATATCGTACCTTATCTGAAAATGGTTTAAATACACTGGTAATGTATGCAACTATACTACAGGTCAATCTAATGACTAATTTTTTCCCACAATTTTAATGATATCGCCAGATTTTTAAAACTTATCACAACAAATTGGCACAAGCAAAATTATTTTGCATCACTTAAAAAAAAAATTATTTTCAGAGAATAGAAAATGATTTCATTTCAATTATGCTGACTGATTATCATGTATACTGAACTGCATTAAGAAGAGTTTTCCTACAAGGGGTTTTGTATTAAATCTTGATCAATAATGTTACAACAAACATACATAACAGTATGAAGATCCAAAGTTTATGGCTGTATGCCACTGATGTATTATTTAACTAAAGGTTATTAAAAATTCTGAAGCATATATACAAATCTCTATAATTCAGTAGCAGCTATAAATTTAAAACATCTTGCTTTGAAAATGCAATGCTAAAAAACATACACTGCAAATATTCTGTCAAGATCCTTTACCCATGCATTATCTCAAAATTTGACCATCTCAAAAATGAAATTAAGCTATTATTGAACAATTCTCTTTCAGTCTCTTCAAATTTTAGAAAAATTAAGTTTTTTTTTTTAATGAATTTCTACTTAGACCGATATGTTTACTTATAACACTAAATCAAATTTCACAGCTTTAGCAAACTGCAAAGCTTGTTAATTTAATTACTTCCAAATTATCATATGATACTGATGATTTGATAACTGCATGTTTAAATAATTGCTCTAAAATGGTTACTTTATGGAGAGATTATAAAAATGCTTCCCCAATTCATTTTTCTATATCTTTTAATTTGACAATTTGTTCTTCATGCCATTTAATTTCTGCCTTTAATCTTTCAATAGCATCTTGATGACTTTTTATATCTCTGTGCAAACATTCTTTCAAGTTTAAAATTTGTTGTCTTTGCTGAAATAGAGAAATAAATTGAATTAAGATATGGTTCCAAATATAAGAATGAGGTCATTATATAAGTATTTTCAAACTGCATTCTGTAAAATAGCAAACAATTCTACTCTTGCTGAAACGACATCACTCGCACAAAAACTACTTATTCCCTATTACTGTTAGTGTTTTACATTAAATTATGAATAGGTTTACTTCGTAAGAATTCCAGTTTGCAAAAAATTTCAGAAATAATGACTGAATTGAGGGCTTGGAGACAATGAGAAATATAGTTCTGAATAGAACTGTGAAGCCTGCAGTACAGTTATGTAACATATTGAAATGCCAGCAAGAAAAAGTTAAACATTATAGAATTGTATTTTTATATTAGTCAATAATTCATCTTTTATATGTTAATACCAGTCTAAAAAATCTGACAATGGGATACTAATTGTAGTTGTAATAACAAAATTATTAATGCAAAGTGTATGCAGCACAGCTTAAACGCATCTGTGACACATTACATATTAATAATTTTGTTCACAATGAAACCATAAAATAACTATATTCTATTTTTAATTAATATAAATGTAATAGTTAGCATGGTGGGAATGCCAGAGCAGAGCACTTGGAGATTTTTCCGAATAAAAAGCAGCCATGGACATTTCGAGATTTTTATTTTCAGTAAAATTAGTAGTATATACTCAATAGTCAGGTACGTAACAAGCCTAATGAAGTAATGCTCAAAATCCAAAGTAGGCACACCCACTACTTAATTTTAATCCTTACTGTATGATAGCTGGCATAAGAAAAAAAGGATTTTATTACTAAAATAGATAAAAAAAAAAAAAAAAAAAAAGGACAATGTTGCTAAATTTTTCAATAAAAGGTGATATTATCACTTTATTATTATCAGTTACTGAGAGTTTTAGTGTTACCATTATTGATTCCTCCCCCCCTCACTTTCACTGTTACCAGTAAGAATGAGTCATTTACATCATAGGACCTTCTGATCATATTTATTATTTTAGGAATGACACACTTCTGAATTAATTATAACTATATTACTGTTTTTAAGAGAAAGGGAAGGAGAAACAAATTAAAAATGAATTTGGGGGACTATTACAAAATAAAATGTTTACCTTGTAATTGTATGCAACAATTGCAAGGTAAACATTTTAAGCATTTTTGCAAGGTAAACATATTAAGTATGACCAAACCGTGGTTCTTTGGCTATTTAACTGCAGCTCACCATAAGCGGAAGACTCTTTGACCCCTTAAATGCGACTCGCTTTCAATAAGTAGTAGACTTATTTCCAAATTACAGGTGTATTTTGAAACAGATTTCAAGCAATGACACTCCTTTTATCAACTAGTAATTTAATTTCTTAAATGACTTTATGCATGTACTAATTTAATAGATTTTAAACGTTCCATGGTGAAACCAATCATCAGAACAATCAATAAAGTAGTAAATAATTCGGGTTCTGCGAATTTTTTTATATAATAATCATGTTATTTTTGAAGCAGGTAATGGCCATTGGGACAGCACAAAAGGCCATTTAAAAAACAGCATTATATTTTTTCCTCTGTTTTATTTCAGTATTTTCTCCTTGCAACTGTGTTAATCTCTCTTCTCAATAACCATGATTTAGTATTTCAAAACATTTGCTATTCTCCATAGGGTGAATTTACATGAATTGTTATTACAATGATGCCCTTCAAATATTGCTCAACAGTATTATGAGCATGTAGATCAGAATTTTAAATCTGCACTGAAAAAACTAAAGATGGGTTGAATCCTGAATTTATTTGAATTTGAAACCGAATCTGAAAATATTTTCTTTTATCAGATTTATTATATCCTTCAAATAAAAATTAGAACAATAAAAGAAAAACCTTTATTTTTAATATTAAAATATTTTAAATAATGTAAAATTTAAAACCTGAGTATAATAAAAAACAAATATAAGAATATTTTTTTAAATGCACTTATGATGGAAATTTAAATTCAGTAAATGAACTCCCTAATTAATTTTTTTTAATCTTGAAGTTTATTTTCTCAATATGGTTTGATATACATATTTGAATAAAAACTTCAATTTAATTACACTTCAATGATAGACAACTGAAGTTATGTTCATGTAATAGCATTTAAATAAACTGCCATAAGTTCCTAGAAACATCCAGGAGCTATTTGTAATAAGTTATTTACTTCCAGAATTATAGATAGGATTTGA